CGCTTCGTTGGTACCCAATTTCCGGTGGCGATGATACACAGTGATGTCAGTAATTAGAAAGGTGAGTTAAGAAGACATTTAGGTTCGGTTAAATCCGCCTAAAAAAATGACAAAAGTTGTTCTTATTTTCTGGTGAGATTTTATAGTAATGATGACCGGTTACTTCTGCCTGTGAATATATTCTCAGTATGACATACATAATGCCTTTATCAGACTTTTATACAAATTCAGCTATTGCGTATCAAAAATGCGTAAATATAATATCAGAAAATATTTGACTTTCTCATTAATGAAAAGGACTGAAAAAAGTAACTAATTACATGCATTCCAAAAAGGATTTCAGACGAAATTTTATGGGAATATGCGATAAGAAAATATAGGTCAGCGTGACCTGCCTTGCATTGGGAGTTGTTTATATGGAACAGGACTCAGAATTACATTTTAGCCTTAAAACAAGTCTATTAATCATAAAATGAAAAAAATGAAGTTACATATTGGAGGTTGCTATACTCTCAAACGTTTATCTTTGTACCAAGTTCTATGATTGTAGATATCCTTTTGTATTTTTTAAAAGACCCTATCTTTATTTTGAAATTTACAACGTGTTGTTTTCATTTTTTTACATAGATTTAGTTTTACTTTGAAAAGAACTTTTTAAAATCGCTAGTTTTTTTGTGTCTGATTGACATATAAACCGTTCATAATTTGTTTTTGCTGCATTTATAAACTCAAGATCTGGTAAATCACTATCACAAATTGACCAAATATGACTGCTATGATGCTAGTGAGTAAATCACGTACATATTATACGTTTTTACATAAAAATTACTATATTTTATTGAACTCTATTTTACAAACATCTGCGATAAAGTAATCATCAATATAAACTATCAATTAGACAAATTATTAGATTATTCGAGTTGTAAATGATTTTCGGTTGCTTAAAGTCCAGCAGCAAATAGTTCATGCATTTTCCTGTTATAAAGTCCACCCGGGATGTAGGTCGGTGAAATTTTGACTGCCACTAGAAAATTAGGATATATTGGATAGAGACGGACAATTTGCCTGCGGACCCCTGAAAAGAGTTGTTGCAACGGTTCTAAACGTGCAGAGAGCGTGGCACTCTCTCTACACGTGACATCGGATTCACCAACCCCATTCTGAACGAACGTGCACTGTAAATAAAAGTGTTAAAAATTTGAACACTTTTTGAACGCCCTTTTGTAACACTTCTGGAACGCGTAACAGTGTTCTAAATATTAACATTGGTGTTCCAGTTTTTAACATCATGTATGCATATTTCGAACGCTATGTGTTATTCTTGAACGGATAGTATGTACTACTTGAACGCCTAGTGTTTGAATCTGGAACGCGTAACAGTGTTCTAAATATTAACATTGGTGTTCCAGTTCTTACATCATGTGTGCATCTTTCGAACGCTATGTGTGTTGTTCTTGAACGGAGTGTGTACTCCTTGAACGCCTAGTGTTTGAATCTGGAACATGTCCTTGTGCGCAAAATTGTACGCCGTTACGCGTTCCAAGCCTTGTTACACTTCTGGAACACTCGGACTGTGTTCCATAAATATGTGTTAATATCCAGAACACATAGTGTATACTACTGGAACACAAATTTACATGTTCCAGAAAAAAGTGTTCCATTCTCTGAAACATAATTGTGGTCTTGTAAAAATAATAATTTAATTATTGATTAAAAACATCTTTAATTGATTAAAAGAGGCAAAATTAATAAAACGTACAAAAATGTGAAATATTGAAGCAACTTTAAAATGACAAGTTAGGCAAGTTAGAAATATAACATTTGACAACGAAAAATTACACTATAATTTGATTAGCAAAATGTGTCCAAATATTTAATCAGACAAAATTTTCGTCACATTCAAAATTATTATGTTACAACAAAGTCTAGTGGCTTAGTTTAACTCATCGTTTTCAACTTCTTAAGTCATGCACTGTCCTGAATTTCTTTACTAAAAACTGATGTCAATGGCTCGTTTATCACCAATATTTCCATAATCCACAGCCTGCATAGCACTCAGATAGTCAATATCAAACATAAAATACCCTGTATATATGCTGTCAGTAGTCGAGTCGGTGTTCATTTTACACTGCTAAATGTACCTTGGTATTTTTAAACATGATTTGAGTCGTCTACAGCTGTTTTTGAGCTTCCATTTTTAAGAGGATTCGTCTCCTTGGGTTATAACTATTCTTTAACTTTGTTGTCCATCAACCGTAAGTTCTGAAATGTCAAATATAAAGTGTATGAGTAAATAAATTATTGATCATGTCGATATTCCTTAAGAATTAGAAACTTTTATTTCGTTTTTGCAATTCCATTATATTTGTCAGCATTATTAGAATTTTTTTGCAATATTTGATAAGATGCATTTGTTAGAGAGTGGTATACATTTATTTTCAAGTATAGGGGCTCTCCTGTTCTATAGCTTTTTGAAAAAAGATGATAGGAAGTGTACAGCAAATGGTCATAGGTGTTTTAGGCAAAAACTTTTTCTTTAGACTTGTCACTAAATTAACTGCTAACATTTCAAGAAACTAATGACTATTTGCCTGTTTTCAAAAAGATATGTAGGAATTTCACTTATGATCTGTATAGGGTTAATTCCAATTTAAATTGATGTAATTACACTGGATTTAACTAAATTAGTTTTCTGATTCATGTACACAAGTGAATGGTGCACATTTTATTGATAAATCTGCATTAACAAAACTTCAAAAATTGTAAGAAGTCAATGGGCACTCCTAAAATTCTTAAACTTACATAAAGTACTTTTATGGTGCAGGATAAGTCGTCATCTCTGGAACTGCGAAATTTTCTCTTCATTCTCGAGGTATGCACGAACAATTACCCCTAAGTACTGTAGTTGTGTTTGTACCCTATAAAAGTAACATAGGAATACATTACAATATGAAGTGCACAACAGCGGACATTTACTAAAATGAATTACTAAGAATTAAGTATTTAAGAATGAGAAAGCTATTAAAAACAGATACATTAGAAATTTAAAATTAGTGTGTTAATTTGCAGTGTGCCTTTTTACAAACCTCTGTCTTGGCATTGCAATGTCATGACAGTTTTTGTATATGTGAACAAATCCTTAAACACCAATCAATCAATCAATAAAGACTTGGGGTGATCTGAGATGCTCCGGAAGGATAGGCAGATCCTGTTCCATTTTATTAGATTTGCAATGCATATCAGTCAATTCCTTACAATTCGTGCAATGTCATGACAGTTTTTGTATATGTGAACAAATCCTTTTATTTTATTAACAAATGTACATCCTCAAAAGTGTGGATAATCGCGTGATCTTCTTGTTGCTTTCTATACACAATGTTTGGAACACATGGCGTTCAGGGAAAACGATTAACTGGAACGCATCATGTTCGAGACCAGAACACATTTACAATAGCAACGATATCATTAGCATTTACGTATAAATTACATTGGTTAAAAATAAAAAAAACATGATCATTTAAATGTATTCTCTCAAAGAACCTCCTACTTTTTTAATCGAATTATGGCATAACAGCACAGTTATGTGTTCAAACAAAATGTTCTACTTCCATTTATACTTCAGTGTGTCCCGTCAAAGTAGAAATGTGTTGACTGAATACTAAAAAAATAAATTTTAAGTTCGTAATTTGTTATAAATATAGATGTACATACCTATTAAATCATGTTTTGTTGTTAATTTTCTTCAGTGAAGCTTCTTCAATCGCGATCAAAAACCAAACTTCCGGTACATTAATACGTCACGCGCTGTTATGTACGCAGACATGTTTGGAACACATGGCGTTCGGGGAAAATGGTAAATTTTAACGCATCATCGTGTTCGACACCAGAACGCTTTTACAATAGCAACGCTTTCATAAGCATTTACGTATTTACATTGGTTAAAAATATACCCAAACAACTTTTAAAGTCGTTTAGAAAAAAGATGTATATTAAAAATCAATCATTTGCACGCTTATAAATACGCTCTTGTAACATTTTTTAATTTTGTTTTTACTAAACTGATAATTTGCTTAATATGTTGATACAGCTAAAATACATTTATCGTCAAATTATAATACGAATCACCCTTATTCATCGTCTGTTTGACTCTGAAGCGATGAAATATTTGTTCACTCCCCATTACAATATTAGAACACTAAAGTGTTCAATTTAGAACACTGGTCTTGAACATATGCGTTAAAAGACTGAACACAATGTGTTATATTCTTTAACGCTGGCGTTCAATGTGGAACACTAATGTTAACAACCGAACATAATTGTGTTTAAAATTGGAACGCGTCCGGACGCGTTAGGCGTCCGCAATATTTACAGTGTGGCTGTGAACTTGTACATCCTGCACGGCCAAACGGACGCCCCACTTTTCCATTGGTTTTACTGCCTGTCGGAAGAAGAACATAAGTGACCCTATATCTATTCCCCAGTCATCCTTGGGGATTTGAGTTGTAAATATATGTTAAATGGAAATGTATACTATGAAATTATGATATTAATATTGAAATCTAGATATCATAGTATATATACCTTTCCATAGACTAACAGTTACACAGACCTGTATTAAAGACAAGTTCTCAGACACATGGAATTGTAAAAAATGGACAGCTTTTAATGTTATTTAATTAATTGGTTAATAGCAGCTTTGACATGACTTGCTTATTTTTGTGTAAAGATTTGTTAGTGTATCATAAGGCCATAACTGCCCTATTCCGACTAGTTCCGATTGTCCTTCTTCGATCTCTTGTTTTTTCCACCTGTGCTAAACCGTAATAACTAATTTCTATGAAGAATAATTGACCGAATCTCATTTGGATTTACATAAACTTGTACAAAGTACAGTCAGATGAATAATATTTGATGGAACACTTGAAGGTGGAAAGAGACAACTCGCTTATTTGAACGATTTGATATCGATATATACTTTCTTTAATTTCTATTCATTTCAGGGAGATCGCAATCGAACGGAAACACAATCAAAATTTGCAACATGTTTTTTCCAAAGACATTTGAAAACTGGGTTTATCTCCTTACAAGAGGAAGAAACTCGTACATTCAAAATTGTAAATGCAAGGTATGGAAATTTGTGAATGTGAAAAGTTCACTAAGTGTAGAGGTATATAAATGGTGGCAGCTATTTTAATATAGAAATTCAATTTATTTGCATGACTGCTTTACCAAATGAGGGCATTTCTAATATTTTGTTTTATGGTAAAATCGGATCAATGTCAAAATGCTTTGTTCACAGATTAAAGATAGCTTGATGCGGCACTGCTGGTCTTTTTGGTTTTATATCATTCCTTATTTTACAAAAAAAAAAATCTTGTATGGAGTCCTCACATGTCTTTTTTTTAAAAATTGTCCATCTGTCCATTTTTATGGATAATAATTTGGTGGCGCTAAACCAATGTAAATCAATTTCAAATATATCTTCCAACTTAACTTTACTTTTTGGAAATTATAATCTAATAATTATTAGCCTAATACAAATATATAGTAGATTCTCTAACGATTCTCATCTATCACCGCATAACCTATTTCAGCTAAAATGGAAAAAACTGTTATAAATATCATATTTAATCTAATATATACTAATTTGAATACATTATCAATAACAATAACAAAACTGCAACTAGACTAGTTATTCACCCACAATTAAATTTTATCGACACACCGACCTCGTTCAAGACAGTGAATTAACAAAATATGTAAAGTAATGTATATATATATATATATATATATAATTAGATGTATTATTTAAATGTATTATTATAATGCTTTGCTTCAATAGCTATACCGAGTGTGTTTTCATACTAGCTAGACATGTACGTATACCTCTAGAAAATTTATCTCAGTGAAATATATGCGACTTCGTAGTTAGCATGGACATCGCGGTTCTTTGAATCATAGTAACTTACTTTGTAATTTATTTGATCAAATCATGTTTTGCAGGTTCTGGAAGAGGGTGATGCATCATCGCCAATGAGTTGTAGATTGTCAAACAATTCAAAATCTTGTTTCCTTAAGACCGCCATATGCAGAAGAAAACAAGGAGGCAAGTGTGAATGGAAAAATGATGAACAATGTTCATAGCTGATCAATTAATGTTAATGGTCGGTCGTTTTTTTGTTGTTGGTATTTTTAGTTTTTAGATTAAAAAAAATATGAATAAAGAAACATAGATATACAGTTGTTGGTAGACATGGTATATACGATCAATTAACATTCGGGTTAGGATTTCTAATTGCATTTATATTTTCTGTATTTAACATTCGTTGTACTATCATTTTGTGTTATTTGTTTTGTTTTTTATCGCTTGTTAAATTAATAAAATGTTACGTACATGTATTATATATTTTACTATTTGACTTAGACAGATAATGAAGATTCAATGCATACTATAAGTGTTATTGTCATAATAACCTTCAAATAAGGCCGTTACTTTTCTCTATGAATTGTTTCACATTTACATTTTTAAGTGTACTATATGGAATAGGTTTGAGAGCTAATTTCCTAATGCTTGTGGAGTACGACTTTGGTCGGCTTGCTTGCTTAGGTGGAGTTTAAACCTGTATACTTAAATTTTATTGGATATTATCCTCCGGGATTATCCTGAAGGTAAGGAATCGTAATATAATGTATACAGGTTTAACTCCGCCTATCTATATTTTTTGCTGATGTCAATCTTATATTACAATGATTGAGCAAACATTTATACGAACAAAGCAAGCAAGCCAACCAAAGTCTTTTTCTACAAGCATCAGGAAATTAGCTGTAAATTACAGAAGGCCTTTTGGTGACCAGTAGTAGTTTATTTTATCTTATCGGACTTTGGACTATTGGTAATTATACAACATCTTTTTTACACAATTCAGGAAAGCGCTTCGAACCATGAAACGAAGAAAGTGTTGTTTTCATTTCTTACTGTTATTTTCACAAGGTACACTCAAGACAAAAATCAAAGCAGACAATAAAAACATAAATATATTGGAAAAGAGTGGTACAGAAATGTCACCATAATGACATCCATTAAGATGATGCCTTTTAGAAATACAGAAAACCGACCAAGTTAACTACCGTGATTGTAAACAGAATATTGTAAAAACAAATATGTTGACTATATTATTGGGGCATTTCTTACGAAACATAAAAACTGCAGCTTTAAAGCCACTTCAAATGCTTTTATTTTCAAACCAATGTAATTTAGAACAAACGAACTGGAAACAGTTGGGTCTCTTGTATACGTGTTTTTGTGGAACAAAGGACACTTTTGAGACCCACGATACTTTGGACTAACTGCGAATCTTTCAACCACTTGTCTTCAACAGCAATTCACCTCTGCACCTACTCAGATCTACTCACCTCGGACTTTTGAGTTTTTGGATTATTTACATGGACCGTTAAACGAGACGGTATATTAATCGGTTTACTGAAGTTCTTGTCTCTCTTATGTTACCATTAGTGGCAAATAAAATACAGAAAAAAAAACAACAAAATAGAATACATGACAAGCCCTCTTAAAAAAAATATATTCTAGAGTGTGTTCTCCTGACTATCGCTCACATTTGCAACACCAAGGTCACAACTAGCGCCTGTCGATAAAAGGGATTTTTTTTCAAAATAGAGAATAGCGAAAGGATAGTTGGTAACATCTTACTTGACAAAGCATAAAGGAAATAACAATGCATCTGGTGAAATATTGTTCATTCTAATGTGTACAAAAAATCAAAGAGACCTATTTTCAAATCAATTTTGAGCAAAAAAAAAACTATTATAATATAATTATCGTTATCCTATCGTTATCAAATTTAAGTTTGTTTTATTTTTATCTTTCTTTCGAATTAACATTTTGTTTATGTTTATTCTATAATCATTTATGTCAATGTTGGTTTATTGGGGGTTTTTTTTTTTGTTCGTGATAGTCGGACATCGCATTAAAGTGATCCTGATGGACAATGAGTAAATCTTCAGAGAACTAATTTTCTTTTACAACTTAAATTGATATAATTCACTGGAGTTTAGAGTTTGAACACTTTTTGGAGGGGGGGTTGTGTTTTATATAATATTATTGACCAAAAACAAACTTTGATTGAGAACATATTTGTTAGGTGGACATGTTTATCCACACAAAGTGTGTATTACCATTCCCGCTGCCTTCTTAATTTATTCGTATGACACATTTATTATACAAAGGCTTCTCAAGAAGAATGGAAATATTTTTGTTTGATCCTTTACCATCGCTTTCTGCTATATTAATCATATGTAAAGACAAATGTGTTACTGAAAAAAATCAGATTAATTTGGTGCATTACTCTATCGCTGGCATCTTTCCCATTGAAATTTAAACAATGGATACCACAGATACAGCTAGGTATGACTCATACCTTGACTTACACATAGAAATCGACGGTAGGTGTCAGATGAAACTTAACTTTACGATAAAACATTTGATTTCGATTTTCGTATTTTTGTATTGATTTAGTAAACTTCATGCCGTATATCATTTGTACATTGCATGCGGAGTATATATCTGCATCTTGATGCGATATTCCATGGCTTGAATTTCCAGTCTGAATTTTTCTTGATATAACTAAAGGGTTCATTAAGGGTTAAGTTAAAGTCATTTTATTGACTAAATATGTTCGTATTAGCTTCACTACTACTTCATGTTGACAACGCCGAAGTCCCTATCATTAAAAACAGTGCAGGGTATATCCTATGTACAACAGAATATATTCATGTCTAGTATGATGAAGTCGTAGAAAAGCGGTGACAAAGTCTATGCTGGTTGTTTTACAACAAAATAGACATTAATCTATTTTTAAACACTTTAATGATATTATTGTACCTCTTTTTATTGTATGTGTAGCAATACTCAACCTCTTGATTCCTTTTACCTAACGCTTCAACCCCACACAAAACATATAAAAGATCGCTTAAAACGAAATGTAAACCCTTTTAAGTTTAGGAATACAAAACCATATTATTTTAGAGTGACCTGCCTTGGTTGTGCTATATTCAAGTGCGACCTTTCTCCATGCACTTGCCATGAGCAACACAATGGGTGTCATAAGTAAAACATGAGCAACACAATGGGTGTCATAAGTAAAACATGATTTGATTACCGTCTTTAGCACTTGATATGACCCTTATTTTAAATTTGTGATGTTTGTCTTAAATTTATTTCTCGTCGTTTTTTTCTGTTTGTCCATGGGCTTGTCTGTTTTTCTTCGACTTGTGATATTCGACCCCCCCCCCCCCCCCCGGGACCCCTTGATAACTTCTGGATATTTGATAGATTATGTTTAGGTGTATGGTATTCTTATGTTCGCCTTAGGGACCGGTCAAAATTTCTTGATGCATGGGACCGGTGCAAACTGTAATGGGACAAGCACTTTTTGCAGTGTTTACAGGAATGGGACTCAATGTTTTTTCATTATTGGCAAGCATGGGACATGAACTTTTTGAAACAATGTCTGTATATGAAAAAAAAATTATTTGATAAATCTATAACAAACAAAAATAACATCATGAACATCTAGCAATGTGAATTTAACAGTTACAACATACCAAATTCATTTTCAAGATTTAGGGACCGGTCAATATTTACTGTGGGGTTGGGACCGGTGCAAAACACAGTAGGACACACATTTTTTTAACTTAACTTTTGATAGGACTTCTACTTTTTTGGTTTTCAGCACTGATAGGACAGCAATATTTGTATGGCATATGTATGAATGTAGAAAATAGTCTATACAAATTTAATTACAACAAAATAACAAGATTAATTAAGGAACAAACAAGTAACATATGGTGTAAATCAGCCCATCTAACTAAATTAAATATAGATCTATCAAAATTCCAGTTTTTTGGTAGTTTGGTTCATTGCTGTGAAATTGAAGAATTAAATTAATAGGAAAAAAAAATTTGATGAAATTCAGATAGTCATCTTTAATTATTTTTATAACTTTTTCAAATCAACTTGGATTTTCATCAAACTATACAGCTATCTTAGTTATATATTGATCTTACTGAATCCCAGGTCGTTATGTAGTTTGTTGTATTGCTGTCAAATTTAAGGATTAAATTAATCTAGGTAAAAAAAAATAGAATTTGCATTTTGGACTAAATTCAGATAGTACACTTTAGTGTTTTTTATAACTTTTTCAAATCAACTTAGATTTTCATCAAACTATACAGCTATCTCAGTTATATACTGATCTTACTGAATCCCAGGTCGTTATGTGGTTTAGGGTATTGCTGTCAAATTTAAGGATTAAATTAATCTAGGTAAAAAAAATCTAGCATTTGCAGTTTGGACTCAATTCAGATAGTACACTTTAATTTGTTTTATAACTTTTTCAAATCAACTTGGATTTTCATCAAACTATACAGCTTTTTCAGTTATATATTGATCTTACTGAATCCCAGGTCGTTATGTAGTTTGGGGTATTGCTGTCAAATTTAAGGATTAAATTAATCTAGGTAAAAAAAGATAGAATTTGCATTTTGGACTAAATTCAGATAGTACACTTTAATGTTTTATATAACTTTTTCAAATCAACTTGGATTTTCATCAAACTATACAGCTATCTCAGTTATATACTGATCTTACTGAATCCCAGGTCGTTATGTAGTTTGGGGTATTGCTGTCAAATTTAAGGATGAAATTAATCTAGTTAAAAAAAGCTAGAATTTGCAGTTCAGACTAAATTTGGATAGTTAACTTTGAATTATTTTCTAACTATTTCAAAGCAACTTGAATTTTCATCCAAATCTACAGCTATCTTCATTATATTTTTATCTTACAAAAAAAACAGGTTATTTGGTAATTTGGTTTATTGCTGTCAAATTTAAATATTTAAATTATAGGTTTCTATCTGAATTTTGTCAAAACTGAAAATTTTAGCCTTTTTTTACAATACACCAAAACCCAAAACAACCTGGTATTTTGTAAGATAAATATATAATAAAGATAGCTGAAAAGTTTGATGAAAATCCAAACTGATTTGAAAAAGTTATAAAATTTTAAAAATGACACCTTTGTTTTGTTAAAACAAGAATTTAATATAATCATGATAATAGAACTTTCATTACAATCCTTGATAACCTTTTAAAAAAGGAAATGTGTTCCAAAGTTACAGTAAAAATTTATTTTAATCAAACTTAAATAATTTTTTGTCAGATTTAAAGACATGGCATACAAGAGGCACTTTAATAAGGTTTAATTACATCAGTACATGTGTGTTTTACAGGTAAAAAGAAAGCCGTACTTTTCTTAAACTCGTGTATTACTTATCGAATGTAGGACAGAAAGTCACAGGACAAAAAGTCACAGACAAAAAGCCACAGGACAAAAAGTCACAATTCAGTTTTGAGATTATTTTTCTTTAACAAGAAAACACTTATTTAAAAAAAAACATTTTTGTACTTTTCTTGAACTTTAGTATATAACGCAACTTTGTAAACAAAATGTATATAAAAAAAGTATTTATAATGATCAAATAATTGTTATGAAAACAAAATGTCAAAGTGGGTTGGTACTTAAACGGCTTCATGGTGCCAAGAAATATATCTTTTGCATGATTAAAATTTAATAAATCTTTATTTATCAAGTCTAATGAACAATTTCCTCAACTGTAAAATAAATATATGTAATAAAAAGTAAATATTTAAAGATCTTTCTCTAAAATATTCAAACAAGTGTATACATATTATTTGTGACTTTTTGTCCTATCAAATTTGTGACTTTTTGTCCTGTGACTTTCTGTCCGTTTACCTACTTATCTAGTGAATTCAAAAGGCCTTGCGATTTAAGTTTAACAGGATGTTGCAATTTTGAATGAATGTTATTTAGAATTTAATACTCTCTGGTAGGTGTGATCTTTTTGCCCCAAGCAGGAGGTATTGCTTTAAACTCCACCACTTTAATCAGAAGGACAATTTTAATAATGTCTTTAATGTTTGATCCCTTTTTGATATATTCATATAATATATATCAACATATCGAGACAATGTCGAGACTAGTAAAGTAAAATGTGAGCACAAAATCTGGTCTTTTCAGACTCTGGGCAGATTGTAGTGTAGATAATGAACAAATCCAAAGTGATGAAGAAGATGACCTTGTAATAAGAGCCTATGACAGTTCTGACAGTGATAATGACAATGATGATAATAATACTAAATGATGAATACAGTAGTAATAGTAGTAGTAGTGGCAGTGAAAGTGAAATTGAAAAGGAATCTTATTTGCCTTCTTCAAGGAGGAGATCATTTAAAATTCCAGACAAATTCAAAGACTACTATATGTGATCTATGTTAATCTGATAAAAATGAAGTTAAATATAAAAAAGAAGATGTGGTATGATTGCCAATGAGACAACTCTCCACAAGAGACCAAATGACACAGAATTTAACAACTATAGTCTGTTTGATTTATTCATAGATTAGATAGGACATATACTTATTTAGTAGATATTTCAGATAGGACAGAAACTTTTTTTGGTATATTCAGAGGGTAAGGACATAGCTTTTTTTACGGGAGAAATATGAATTGCACCGGTCCCTACCCCCCCAATAAATATTGACCAGTCCCTTAAAGAACAGTGAAGGCAACAAAAAAAAGCTTTGGAACAGAATAAACATGAAAAAATACTTTGATATAAAATTAAAAAAATATGTAAAAATTTGATTAGATATTTTACATGTATAACTGTTTAACAAATGTAAAAAAAACTAATTCATGAATAGTGTTTCTGCACAAAAAAGCATGATTGTCAAATATAATTCTGTCCTCCCATAAAGCAGAATTTACCTACCCACTGTTAATTTAGAATAGTCAGATTGTAAATTAAGCTGCAATTTTTTTGAAAAAATGTATTATACCATACACTTCATACATGTTAATTGTTTAATATTGCATGTATTATTTATTATAGTCAATAACATATTGTCATCTGTTTGGGCTTCTGTGTTGGCAATAAAATATGCTTTTGTATTGTTTTGTTTACATTATAACAGCAATATAGATACAGTTCACACATAGTAGCATTATTTTTCAGCTATCCAAATACATTGTAGCATGAAATGTAGCCACAACTTTGATAATGTTTTTTGTGCTTTAACATGGGACACACACTTTTTTACTAGGAAACGTGCATGGGACAAGCATATTTTTATTCTGCCAGTAACCATGGGATCAAGAGAATTATTTCAGACAATTTTCTTTTTGCACCGGTCCCATGCATCATGAAATATTGACCGGTCCCTTATATCGTTTGGTAATGGGTCTTTTTCTGGTTACTATTCTCAATTTCAAATACAAAAAACTTAGTCCAAGTCGTAGGAAGGCGTCACATAAAAACTCTAAAAAAAAGCCTTCCAAGACGTCATACTTATTTGGACTACAAGAACCCAGGTTAAATGCTTCCCTTTTTGACGGAGAAGCATTGTCTCGCTACAATATAATAAAGGGTCAATGATACGTTGTGTTTTCGTCCATGAAGAGCATTTTTTTTCAAACTGAACAAACTTTATAGTTATACGTTATTTGATAAGACTACTGATTCAAGATAACAATAAACGGAAAACAAATATGACAGACAGCGGCCATCGACAACCACTGAATTACAGGCTCCTGACTTGGGACAGGAAGGTAACAAAACATGTTATTGGTGACTAACACCATAAACACCGGAGAGTGGTTAAACAGCACAACACAAGAACAAACTGTAAAAATCAGTTGAAAAGCAGATTGTTACGAAGCATATAAATCAACTAACACAAAAACCAAAACCATATACCATGCATAATTTAATTTTGTATTTTCTCTTGGGACTATTGTATAATCTATAATATCCGTCGCTTCTAAAGTATAAAAGAGTATAAAAAGATAACCAGGAGCAATTAAAGTTCTAAGAACAAACAAGACCTCGACCAAAAGTAAAAAAGACGAAAATACAAACATGCAACAGGGCATTACACACCACACAGAAAACTAAAAATTGAGCAACATTTAAAATCCTTGTGAAGATTAAAATTGAGAATGGAAATGGGGAATATGTCAAAGAGACAACAACCCGACCAAAGAGCAGATAACAGCCGAAGGCCACCAATGGGTCTTCAACGCAGCGAGAAAATCACGCACCCGGAGGTGGTCATCAGCTGGCCCCTAAATAAAATTGTGTACTGGTTCAGTGAAAATGGACGTCACACTAAACTCCAAAACATATAAAGGAACTAAAATTAAAAAAAAACATACAAGACTAACAAAGGCCAGAGGCTCCTGACTTGGGACAGGCGCAAAAATGCGGCGGGGTTAAACATGTTTTGTGAGATCTCAACCCTCCCCATATACCTCTAGCCAATGTAGAATAAAGGAACACATAGCAATACGCACAGTAAAACTCAGTTTAAAAGAAGTCCGAGTTCTATGTCAGAATAGGTAACAAAAGAAAGTAAGCAAAATGACAATGATACATGAATTAACAAAGGACTACTAGCAGTTACTGACATGCCAGCTCCAGACCTCAATTAAACTGATTGAAAGATTATGTCTTCATCATATGAAAATCAGGGACAATCCCTCCCGTTAGGGGTTTAGTATCATACCATCATAAAATATATGAGAAGAACATAACCCGTATCATGCCAACAACTGTTTTTAGAATAAATGTGTTTATTTCCGATGCAAAGACCCTATGAGTGAATCAATATTAATACCAAAATATGCAATCCTTAATGATCTGACAACAGTATCGTAACTATATCCCTTCCGAATAAGTCTGTTTAAAGGTTTGGTTAGCTTTTGAGGTGAATGCCGACATGTTTGTGCTTTGTAAAGAATATTACCATAAAATATTGGATGTGAAATACCTGAACGTATAAGATGTCTGCATGTTGATTTATATTTACGAATGATGTCCAAGCTTGTACCGATGATAAAATTTAGTAAATGTTTTGACTAGTTTGTGATAATCATATCGCAAACCCTGGTGTAATAATTTTTCAGTAATACAGAGATCTCTTTCGTTAGAATCAAATACCTTGTTACATACACGAGCGAATCGAACAAGTTGAGATATATAAACATCATAAGATGATGACAAGGGAACGTCACCATCTAAAAATGGATAATTAACAATAGGAAATGAAAAATCATCTCTTTTATCATAAATTTTGTTTAGTAAGCTTCCCGTTAAAGATATAGATATCAAGTATATATATAGTTTATATTGGGGAACAATCGATGCTTAGACTTGATCACCATACATTGAAACATGAATAGACCAGTTTACGACCCTAGAAATCTCAATCATACATGTACCATGTTGGCGTTTAGAATTTTGAAATGTGATGTTAGCTTTGTAATAAAATTGAGAATGGAAATGGGGAATGTGTCAAAGAGACAACAACCCGACAATAGAGCAGACAACAGCCGAAGGCCACCAATGGGTCTTTAATGCAGCGAGAAACTCCCGCACCCGGAGGCGTCCTTCAGCTGGCCCCTAAACAAATATGTATACTAGTTCAGTGATAATAGACTTCATACTAAACTCCAAATTATACACAAGAAACTAAAATTAAAAATGTGCATGTTTTCAAGTTTACTTAAGAATATACACAAACCAAATTCAGCTAAAATAATTCATAGTCGTTTATTTTTGCTCTAGATGCAAAAATTGAAAAAAGATGAATGTTTTGTATTAAGGGAACGAAAACCATAACCCAAAGAAGAACATAAGAAAGGTTAACTGATCCAGATCACAAAATATTACACTTAAAGCTAAAAATTGGGGAACACGAACCCCACCAAGAACCGGGTATACGCAGTAACTGATGTGTGAATTTGAAAAGCTCAAAAATTGTTCCTTTTTCATGTTTGTAGCTTGTCAATAGGAACATATAAATCTTCAGATTAACTACCTTAATGTTTTATTGTCTTCCACTTAAGCGGAAATAAATTGTTGGTATTTAGTTACACCCATCTCCATTTACCTCCCTTTTTACCGGAACTTGAAAACAGTGTTGACATCAAACACGTGTTGCAGTGTTTTAGAAGACTAAAACATGGTTGGAGAGAAGAAAAAGAAGGTATGTATGAGCAAAGAGTCGATATTGAGATTTGTTTGTAAAATAAAAACGGCGTACTAGCAGTGTGTGCCTAAAAACAGTGTTGAAGCCGATCACGTTTAATGGCCATGTAAAAAAAACCAACATATTATGATATTATACAATTATAGCCTTGGTATGAGGTCGATACAAGGATATATTGACCTGAAAGAAGTATATGGACTGAGGACGAAGTCCGAGGTCGATATACTTCTTTGGGTCGATATATCCTGTATTGACCTCATACATAGGCTATAATTGTTATATTATTAATTTCCGACCATATTTGTATGAAAATCGTCGTTTGATTTTGTTGGAAATTTATAGATATCATATTGTCTCCTAGACAATAACAACATATTAGTTGTTATTTCATTTATTTTTTATGTTTGTTTTTTAACATCTCATTTATTTGAAGATTTTTTTTCTTCAAATAATCGATCAAAGATATGTTTTAATAAAACTTTTAACAATATCATGAAATTCATTACATGACGTCACAAAGTATATCGGTTTTTAGATATTCTAAAAATAACCGTGCAATATGCTTTTTTGCTATGCAATATGCTTTTTGCTATCCGCCGTTTTCTGTCTACCTTCGAAAATATAGTTTAACATGTGACTATCCCTGAACGAATCAAATTAGTTAAAATATACGAATTAATAATATTAGTTATTATCAACAGTAAACGCTAATACGAGGGCAGGAGTGTTATATATAAAATAATTGCTTACCTAATGAACAGTGGAAAGATTTTTAGATTTTTTAGATTTTATGATAACAACTAAACAAGGATAGTGTTTGAACAGTAAACTCTATTACGAGGGCAGGAGTGTTTATCCTGTTTAATATATAGATACATATATAGTGAAATCTGGACAAGTGGATTGAGTAATAAATAGTTAACTTCTTTACATGGTGATGGATTAGTCCGCATGCTGTATATATGTTACTGTTTCTAATAATAACGTTTATGAACATATACTATAACCAATTTTATGAGTGCCCTGTGTGTAAGGGTTAGGGTGCAAATAAAGAAGTACGCTGTAGAAGCGAAGCTCCTGCTAGAGGAGGAAGATAAAGACTAGGTAACAGGTATTAGTTCTTTATTTTCCAATCAAGGGCCCCTGACGGGACATAATGACAAGAATACACAATACATTCTTTTTCATAACACATAAACATATAAATGAAGATACAATTAAAGTTCACATAAAGTGGATGAGATTATCAGTCTAAGACTAGTCCAAATAATTATGACGTCTTGAAAGGCTATTTTAATTTTTTTCACAGAAAAAAATTAAAATAGCCTTTCAAGACGTCATAATTATTTTGACTAGTCTAAGACGGTCTATCATCATGATCATAGAATATATATAATCATATAAAATATCACAACATAAAACATGTTATTATTTTTTTAAATTTTTTTAAGGTGGTACCCAACACCTTGACTAATATTAATTTGGCTCGTTTAATTTTCCTAAAATTTTGACAAAATGTTTACTTTGACCCTTTGACAAAAATATAAAAATTTCAAATAATTTGAACCAACCACTTTATCAGAAATATTTCACTGGTTATATAGCAGTTTGACAAACACTAATTTTGATCATTGAGAAGCTTAATATTTCCATAACAGTACAACGTGATTAAAACGTTTAGTTGATTTTTACAGAGTTATCTCCCTGTAGTGTTAGGTACCACCTTAATAAGTTAGTTTAGTTCTTTCAGAGTTTTATATATTTGATTTCACTGCCATGCCAGAGTGCCAATACAAATAATATAATAATTTCATCATATAGTTTGCTAACAGAGGTCCACCTTGTCTCTTTTCGAGATAAGAACATTGCATTTTCACAGTTTGAGGAAGGTATTATCCCTATAAATTGGTGTTATATTCTCCAAAACGGGTATCAATGTACTGTTATCATGGTTATAAAAAAATGTAACTTTTAGGTATCATCCTGATAATAACCATAATGTGGATAATACCCATTTTGGCTGGGAACCGTACACTGCTGTAGGTCATCAAATTGTCAAAAAATATCACAAACCAAAACAGTTCTGCAGTAATACCCATTTATGAGGAAATTACAAAACCTTTATCATGTTTATCATGTCTTGTAGATAAACAGCTCTTATAATTGTAATGCATATTCAAGAACCATACCAGTAAATATTTCTTTATTCCAGTTCCCTTTTAAAGTGGGACATTGACAGTTATACAATGTATATAAAGTATACAGTGTATGAACATATATATATATAAGTAATTGTACTGTAGGTGTTGGTCACTTTCAGTTTTTGGAAAGTTTGCTATAGCTTGCTATAGCAATTAACTTTCCTATGGCATCGGCCTCAAACCGGAAGTTGGACAGACTATCTTACTATAGGATGTGTGTTCTACTCCTAGATAATGTAGTACTTGTGTTTGAATACTAATGATAGGAAGATGCTTTTGAAATTTTGAGTTACTTTGAGAAACTAATGTTTATTAAAGAAGTAAAAGCCAGAGTGTATCGAAAGTATCCTCATATCTAGGCCCATAACAAACTCGGCCTATAACATAATCGGCCTCACAAAATTGGACAATAATAACTAAATATATATACACCCTATGGGATTTTATTTTTTTAAATTTTCAAATGACTATAACTGGAAAACAGTAAGTGATAGACACACACGGTCTTTAGTAATGATCACAGGGCAATAAAACAAATAAAATATGGGGTGAGTCCCTGGGGGTCACCCCCACCCCCATCAATTTGAGAATGAGCTTTTATCTTGTAAACGGTCAAGATCCCCACCCCTAAACCGTATATATCCTTGTGTGGGAAAATAAAACAAATCAAATCAAATATTGAGGTCCCCACCCCTAAATCATATATTTTCATGTATGGGACAATAAAATAAATCAAGTGAAATATAGGGCGAGTCCCTGGGGGTCACCCAACCCCCTCCTGTTTGAGAACTTGTTAAAGGTCGAGGTCCTAAACCATATATATTCTTGTATGGGACAATAAAACAAATCAAATGAAATATAGGGAAAGTCCATGGGGGTCACCCCACCCCCTTTCTTTTTGAAAACTTGTAAACAGTCAAGATCCCCACCCCGAAACTATATATATTCTTGTATGGGACAATAAAACAAATCAAATGAACTAAAAGTCAAGTCCCCTGGGGTCACTCCCACCCCCTTCTGTTTGAGAACTTGTAAACAATCGAGATCCCCACCCCTAAACCATATATATTCTTGGATAGGACAATAAAACAAATCAAATGAAATAAAAGTCGAGTCCCCTGGGGTCACTCCCACCCCCTTCTGTTTGAGAACTTGTAAACGGTCCAGATTCCCACCCTAAACCATATCAAATGAAATATAGGGGAGTCCCTGGGGGTTACCCCCAACCCCTCCTGTTTGAGAACTTGTAAACAGTCGAGATCCTAAACCATATATATTCTTGTATGGGACAATAAAACAAATCAAATGAAATATAGGGAAAGTCCAAGGGGGTCACCCCACCCCCTTCTTTTTGAAAACTTTGTAAACAGTCGAGATCCCCACCCGAAACTATATATATTCTTGTATGGGACAATAAAACAAATCAAATGAAATAAAAATCAAGTCCCCTGGGGTCACTCCCACCCCCTCCTGATTGAGAACTTGTAAACAATCGAGATCCCCACCCCTAAACCATATATATTCTTGGATAGGACAATAAAACAAATCAAATGAAATAAAAGTTGAGTCCCCTGGGGTCACTCCCACCCCCTTCTGTTTGAGAACTTGTAAACGGTCCAGATTCCCACCCCTAAACCATATCAAATGAAATATAGGGGAGTCCCTGGGGGTTACCCCCACCCCCTCCTGTTTGAGAACTTGTAAACGGTCGAGATCCTAAACCATATATATTCTTGTATGGAACAATAAAACAAATCAAATGAAATATAGGGAAAGTCCACGGAGGTCACCCCACCCCCCTTCTTTTTGAAAACTTGTAAACGGTCGAGATCCCCATCCCGAAACTATGTACAAATGTATATTCTTGTAAGGGACAATAAAATAAATCAAATGAAATAAAAGTTGAGTCCCCTGGGGTCACTCCTTCTGTTTGAGAACTTGTAAACGGTCCAGATTCCCACCCCTAAACCATATCAAATAAAATAAAGGGTGAGTCCCCTGGGAAGAAGATTTGAATGACATACAGGGTCAATCTCTAGGCGTCACTTATGCATATCACTTTACTAGACCAAACCAATTTGAACTGGACTTTGCCCAATGTCAGGCGACCATGGGAATGACGAATTATGGGAGACTTCATCACAGCATCCTGTAACAATCATTTCTTGTTAACAATGTGTCACTCATCACAGAGGCAAAGATAATATCAAATGAATGGCTGTAAACTAAAAATCTCAGAATGTCATTGCCTCAATGCTGAATTTCACATTTACATGAGATGGGCACAAAAAAAAATTAACAGAGCTTTCTGTATATTTGATTATTTTAAATCTACAGTTTAAGGTTGCAATAGAAATTATCAAAATTTTACATGACAAACATATAAAAAAAAGTGATTTTTAATAATTGCTGATGAGAGAATGGTTTGATAATTGCTGATGAGAGAATGGTTTCGGAAAAAAACATGTGATTAGATACATATTTGAAATAATACACATCTACTGTTCCAAACTTTCCACAGGTGCTATCTAGCACTTTGATTTGCTGTAGACATGATCGATGTCAATATGAAAATCATGAACACAGTTATTTTGATTTGTAGCATTCTGTTTTATTTAATAATTTTAGGTTTTCACCACTATCTTTTATTTTAAGTCTGTTATTTATGATGAGTTTATTTATCTTTCCCCGTTTGGAAACTTCAGTCTTTATATGTACCATCTGACATTTATATACGCATGTTTTAGTATTTATATAGGATTGGAGAAGGGCGTGGTAAGTTTATTTTAAAAACCTATTATAAAGTAATGCAGACACATGGCAGAGTGAGTTGATTTACATGTTATGTTGATGTACATGTATCATCTGATTATTTCAGTATGAAAGTGGTTCAGCAACAGCCTACATTTCAAGGAATCAAGCTATTAAAAAGTTACAACTCAACTTAGCTGATTTTAGGTTTGTACTTACACATTTGGGTTTGTTATTTTCTGTTTTTAATTGTACATGATGAAAATAACACTTACAAATTTGGTGCATCATCATGATCATTAGTGCTTTTCAGGATTTACCTTTAGCATGTGTAGGAATGGTCAAACCCAGGAAATTAGAGCCAAGGATTAAAATACACGAGGAACAATTAGACCAACAGGGATCTAAGAGCTTGAAAAGAAATTTGATTCATTATATAAATTACACATCAACCTAACAACATGAACATCAGAGTAAAACCTGAAACGACAAAAGACATAATTTGTGTTCTAAAGGCTATATCTATGACAGTCACAAATCTTAACCTTTTTGACATGTTGCAGAACGTTTAATGATGATAAAATGAATGCACAAATCATAAAGATTATACACAGATTTAAATGTAAGAAGAAAAATATGAAAAACATCATGAACATTTAAAAGTTTTTACATTCAATTTTTTCCTGTTAGAATTTTGTATACCGGTATATACATCATGTATATGTATATACTATATTGTTGTACAATAACATAAGTGAGAAGAGATGAAATTTGCCTGTATATAATTACCAGGTTTCTATTTTCTTGGAGCCTAGTAGGAAAAGTGCCAATATCTTGACACTTGGTGTTCTTATTTAAAAGTAAATCTAAACTAATATTGGCAAGTTTTCTCTTTTGGAAATATTTGCATTAAAATATTTGCTACACCAGTTAGGGGACTTATTGAAATAAGTGATTTTTAAATCACTTATTTAAGTAGCAAATTGGAAGTTTTGTCACAAATTGTGATTTTGTAGTTTTACCAAAATTTTAAACACATAGGTTTAGATTTGATTTTTTCATTAGTTAAATTGAAAAAAATGAACTTTTTGCTTCTTTTAAGCAGCAAGGTTTATGCCTTTGATGCAATCATTTAGCTGCAAATTCTATTTTAGTTAAAAAAATGCTATAAAAATGGCTTTACATAATGAACTGATACTTTCTTAACAGATTTTTCCCAGCAGTGGGATTATTTTTCCTGTAAAATTCAAGGTTTCATCTTATAGATTATGTAATAAAATTCTACTGTTCGCGATCAAAATTTCACTGTTCGGGGGTGTTGAAATTAGTGGGGGTTATTAAAATAATGATACTTAAAGAAGTGATTTTTTGGAAGGAAATTGAGGTACGATACTTAAACAAGTGATTTTTATGTCATTATCCTAGATTTAGTACAAGGTCATCACCTGACATGACCCGGTCATCCTATGATAACACAGATGTTTGTTCTGATAATTTTAGCAACATAATTAGTCCCTGGATCATTTGTATTCTATATTTAAAGCTACAATAAAATTAAATCACTTAATCTAGTGATTAATTTGTACTACTTAAATAGGTGATTATTAAAGAAAGACAACTCTTACTTCCAACCTTTATGGACATAATGTTACTTGAATCAGTGATTTAGAAAATCACTCATTTAAGTAAGTCCCCTGACTGTACACTGATGTCTTTGTTTACCATGTTGTTTTCTAGGTTTGTTGATTATTTTCGTCTAATATTAAGGGCCTGAAATGTTTCAATGTCTTTCAGGGCTACTGTGGATTTATTTATTTATTGTAGGAAAAGTTGTATAATCTAGCATTTGATTTTGTGGTTTTGACAAAGTTTGCATATAAGCATATATTAAATTTGTACTTTGGTGAACATCTACATTCATGGTTCACTTAACCTATGTATACCCATGAAATCAACGAAATTCAGTATCCCACGAATAATAATGAATCCACAGAACTTTATAAGTTGTGTCCATTGTCCCTGTTGTTGCACTAGTACATGTATGACCTCTAATGCTTTATATAGAACATAAGCATGATAAGGGGTAAAATCAACAAATAAATTCAATTAAAAATTTCAGGAAAAATCCTGTTTGTGACATATTGCTTTCAATCCAAAACTTGAGTACTCCAACCATTGCCATTATTACTTTTTATATAGACACTTGATTACAAATTATGAAAAATTATATGAAAGTCCATACTAGCGATCTCTGAATAAACAACTACATGTGTATGATACTCTTTCAGAACTATGGCTAATGTACCCCAACCACCTTAAACTAGGGGGGTAAAAAAAAAACTTTGTAAAATAAAACTTAAACAATCCTCATTTTGATTACTGTCTTTTGTATTGTATAATTCTGAAGAAAATGAAAGTGAGCATGAGAACCCTACTTGATCCTGTTGATCGAGTAAATAATTTATGTTTATTTCAGACGGTTATGTATACTAAAAGGTATCTACCCACATGAACCTCGACACAAGAAGAGAGTGGGTAAAGGCAGTACAGCACCTAAGACATACTACTTTGCTAAAGATATAAACTATATATCACATGAACCAATCATACACAAGTTCAGAGAATTCAAGGTAAATTTAGATAAACTGTATATCACATGAACCAATCATACACAAGTTCAGAGAATTCAAGGTAAATTTAGATAAACTGTATATCACATGAACCAATCATACACAAGTTCAGAGAATTCAAGGTAAATTTAGATAAACTGTATATCACATGAACCAATCATACACATGTTCAGAGAATTCAAGGTAAATTTAGATAAACTGTATATCACGTGAACCAATCATACACAAGTTCAGAGAATTCACAAGGTAAATTTAGATAAACTGTATATCACAAGAACCAATCAAACACAAGTTCAGAGAATTCAAGGTAAATTTAGATAAACTGTATATCACGTGAACCAATCATACACAAGTTCAGAGAATTCAAGGTAAATTTAGATAAACTGTATATCACATGAACCAATCATACACAAGTTCAGAGAATTCAAGGTAAATTTAGATAAACTGTATATCACATGAACCAATCATACACAAGTTCAGAGAATTCAAGGTAAATTGAGATAAACTGTATCACATGAACCAATCAAACACAAGTTCAGAGAATTCAAGGTAAATTTAGATAAACTTTATATCACATGAACCAATCATACATAAGTTCAGAGAATTCAAGGTAAATCTATCATCGTCAACACTAAAAACCAACTCAATGGTAAACCCTCACTTTGATATGGAATATTGTTTAGAGGAGCAAGTCTTTTACAAATGTAGTGGTTTAAAAAAAATTGAAAGGGTGAATTTGGAATCAGAGATGTGTGTGTACAACATATAATGTTGAAATGCTCAAATTTGGCTTACAATTGTCATATCAGAAAGGTATCAAATGTTGAAAATTCATTTAATTTAAACATATTTCTCAGACATAATATCTGAAATGCATTTTAATTTACATCTATCAAGAATTCTGTCTAGCAGGTACACATAAGTCACACGTAATATGAGATTGGCATAAAAATTGTCCATATATTACTATAGGAATCACAGAATTTAGATATTATTCCTGCGAAAAAAAATCAAGGAAAAAAGAGGGTTCAATATCTAGGTTATCATTTTATACCTTAAAATCCTGTTCATGAAAGTTATTAGTGAAAATGATATACATGATATCTGTCTGAGATAAAAATACTGATCATTTTGTTACTTTTTTTAAAACATAAAAGTGAAAAGCAGATGTTTGGTAATTACTGATGAGACAGCAACCTAACTACACAATACATTCAATAGACATTAAGACATTTTAAGATATAAGCATTAGAGTGATAAGTATTAAAGATTGAAAAAAACTCATTTCTTTTCAGCATTTTGTGAGACGGTTGAAGAAAGCCATTAATAAGAGGAATACAGATGCCGCAAACAGAATCAGAGCTAATAAACCTAAATATAAACTTGATCACATCGTGAAAGAGAGGTAAAAATAGGATAGTGAGGGCTAATAAACCTAAATATAAACTTGATCACATTGTTAAACATGTTAAAGAGGGGTAAAAATAGGATAGAGAGGGTTAATAAACCTAAATATAAACTTGATCACATTGTTAAACATGTTAAAGAGAGGTAAAAATAGGATAGTGAGGGCTAATAAACCTAAATATAAACTTGATCACATCGTTAAAGAGAGGTAAAAATAGGATAGTGAGGGCTAATAAACCTAAATATAAACTTGATCACATCGTTAAAGAAAGGTAAATGTATGATAGAGAGGGCAAATCAATTTTGATTTTAAACTTGATTGCATTGTCAAAGAAAGATAAAAACTGGTCAACCAGAATATGAATGGAAACATTTCTATAACAAAACTTAAATTATATTTAAAATTTTGTTTGTAAAACATTTTCCAGCATATGGTAAATAATTTGATACCATCTTTCAGGTATCCTTCATTTATTGATGCTCTACGAGATGTTGATGACTGCCTATCCATGTGTTTCCTGTTTGCTACATTCCCTAAAACAGCACATACATCATATGACTTCATACTGTTGTCACGGAGATTAACAGGTATACCTAATAGATTGCAACCATACAATTTTTCCTTCTGTTATCACATTCATAAACTGTAGCATTAGTTGTGGTGTATTTAATGAATATTATTTTTTTATTTCAAAGTAAGACATTGTCTACGTCTACATTTATTGCTTATATAATTCAATGTATGATTGATGGATGCTTGGTTAATGTCCAGTGGCAATTGTTTCATGCATATTCAGGACGATTCATTGTTTAATGGATATATCTTAAACTAAACAGTACATACTCAGAATTCTTAAAAATTAATAAACCATTTAACAGATATTGTTAAGGCAACCTATAAAAAGTATATGAATGTAAAAAAGGAATTGAATGTCTGATTTCATATGTGCCTAAAATTAGGTCAGAAAATGAATAAAAACTGATTTTCATGATCTAACTTTTCTTTTATGTCCCTGGTTGTACAGATGATCAGGAAGAATCAAGACTGTTTGAATCAATGCATTGTAAGATTTAGAAAAAATAAATGTGTATTTTATTCTAAGATATCATTATGTATTTTATTTTTAGTGGAGTTCATGCATTATGTGATAGCATCAAGATCATTGAGAAAAGTAAGTCGCACTAATTAACAAAATGATTTAGTTATAGAAGAAAACGAGCCATGGGGTATATATTGGTTTGTTTAACTCAGTTACTTTATACTTTTCCTGAACTTTGATAAGATTTTAAATCAACATATGATTCTCTTGATTTATGAACATGATGAAACTTTTCTTTCTTTTCTCTGATTTCCTCTTGTGATGTCATGAAAAAAAGGTAATTTGATGAATGATAAAAAGAACATGCAGATCATTAGAATTGAAAAACAAATTTGCATTCACATTGTCTAGATATCCATCAGAATAAAAATACTGCTACCAAATCTCGTGCGAAACACTATTTCTCCATGTATACACATATCATTGTACATTGTAGTTAGTATTTCAAGTTTTGATCTTTCAAAACAAGTCAAAAAAAAAATAACTGTGCTAAAGTTATAGTTGAATTGTTAGTTTTTGTAGTTTTAGCAACTTTATTTTTTTAAGCCTTTATAAAAGATATAAGTTGCTGTCTTTGTTTTCAGGTTTCAGATTGAATGTGTTGTTATTTTTTCAGGTTTATTTAAATTTGAAATATGACCAACACAATAGTTGTAATTTTGCCTTTTTGCAGGTATTTATATCTATCAAAGGAATATATTACCAAGCAGAAATAATGGGACAGACAATATCTTGGGTTGTACCACACAAACTGGGATTTGATGTAAGTATCGTATTTAAAATGAGCATCATAAGGATTCATGGAAATACATAACACATGAAAAAGAAATTTCTTGTTTAAGGTCAAGTTACACTATAAAATGGGATATGTCACAGATTTTGGTAAAAAATTTTAAAAACTTTTGTGTAGAAAGCACATTAAATCAGATAAAAACATTCTTAAACTTGTTGTAAGATTATCAAATCAATAGATTTAAAAAAAAATTTGTTGTGATACATAAATTTCCATTTTAATGATGTAAAATTATAATTCCTATTTACCACCATTTAACATCAGACATTCAATGGTCAGCAGACCTTTTTTTCCCGAACAGTCTTCGTTACCAAAACCAAAAAATAACCACCCAACTCAAAACCCAGTTTTTTCTACTGCAATTCCACAAAGATCCAAAATTGGCTTATGCACTCATATTGCTTCTTGAATTATCAGATTGCTTGTTTAACATCCAGTGGCAAATATTTCAAGCATATTCAAGATGAGATTTTTATCATGTTTATATGATGGAATTTAATAAAGAACATTTATTTTCATGCATTCCTCAATTTTACTCAGTTTATTAATCTATTCAAAAAAAGAATGGAAACTTGTTTAATATCAAATTGTCTTTAAGTTGGAATATAAATTTTTACTATGGGACAAAATAATGTTAGATTCGAAATTGTTTACTGTTAAATAACCAGTTTCTTATAAACAAATGCACCTTTTGTTTTTTTCTGTTAAATCCCAATGAAGTTAGAATTTAACTGATTTGGCTTTTATGTTAAATGAATATAAATTTCTCCACTTGCTTCAGATTTTTCCTGGCAGTGCATGTTGTTTTGTTTACCTCATCCGATCATTTAACAAGTTGAAATATTTATGTCTGTATTTTTCAGCACCCAACAGAAGTAGATTATAAGATTATGCAGACTTTTACAGAGTTTTACACCACATTATTAGGATTTGTAAATTACAAGTTATACACAGATTTTAACCTTCACTATCCCCCTAAGGTAAATTACAAGTTATATACAGATTTTAACCTTCACTATCCCCTAAGGTAAATTACAAGTTATATACAGATTTTAACCTTTACTATCCACCTAAGGTAAATTACAAGTTATATACGGATTTTGATCTTCACTATCCCCTAAGGTAAATTACAAGTTATATACAGATTTTAACCTTCACTATCCCCCTAAGGTAAATTACAATAAAATTGAGAATGGAAATGGGGAATGTTAGATAACCTTCGCTATTTCCCTAAGGTAAATTACAAGTTATATACAGATTTTAATTCACTATCCCCCTAAGGTAAATTACAAGTTATATACAGATTTTAACCTTCACTATCCCCCTAAGGTAAATTACAAGTTATATACAGATTTTAACCTTCACTATCCCCCTAAGGTAAATTACAAGTTATATACAGATTTTAACCTTCACTATCCCCCTAAGGTAAATTACAAGTTATATACAGATTTTAACCTTCACTATCCCCCTAAGGTAAATTACAAGTTATATACAGATTTTAACCTTCACTATCCCCTAAGGTAAATTACAAGTTGTATACATATTTTAACCTTCACTATCCCCTAAGGTAAGTTACAAGTTATGTACATATTTTAACCTTCACTATCCCCCTAAGGTTAATTACAAGTTATATACAGTTTTAACCTTCACTATCCCCCTAAGGTAAATTACAAGTTATATACAGATTTTAACCTTCACTATCCCCCTAAGGTAAATTACAAGTTATATACAGATTTTAACCTTCACTATCCCCTAAGGTAAATTACAAGTTGTATACATATTTTAACCTTCACTATCCCCTAAGGTAAGTTACAAGTTATATACATATTTTAACCTTCACTATCCCCCTAAGGTAAATTACAAGTTATATAGATTTTAATTCGCTATTTCCCTAAGGTAAATTACAAGTTATACACAGATTTTAACCTTCACTATCCCCCTAAGGTAAATTACAAGTTATATACAGATTTTAATTCGCTATTTCCCTAAGGTAAATTACAAGTTATACACAGATTTTAACCTTCACTATCCACCTAAGGTAAATTACAAGTTTTACACAGATTTTAACCTTCACTATCCTTCTAAGGTAAATTACAAGTTTTACACAGATTTTAACCTTCACTATCCTTCTAAGGTAAATTACAAGTTATACACAGATTTTAACCTTCACTATCCCCTAAGGTAAATTACAAGTTATATACAGATTTTAATCTTCACTACCCCCTAAAGTAAATTATAAGTTATATACAGATTTTAACCTTTACTATCCTAAGGTAAGACAGGAGAGTGATATTCTCCTTAAAAATTACAGTATAAAGTTCTTGTATAAAGTTTAATTTTAGTTAACTGTTGTCTAATTCAAGACTTCTGTACCTTTTGTTAAAAAACATCAGCAACTAGAGCTGGAACTTTTTATGCCCCTGCCGTAGTGGAGGGGGCATTAAGTTTTACCCTTGTACGTCTGTACATACGTACGTACGTCCCAAAATTGGTTTCTGTTCTCTAACTCTAGTTTGCCTCAACCAAATGTTTTGAAATTTATACACAATGATTATTACCACAAAATACAGATCAAGTTTGAATTTTGGTGGCGTCACTTTTACCTTTCTGGAGTTATGCCCCTTTACAAATGGAAAAATTGCTGAATTTTTCGTTTCCGTTCTCTAACTTTAGTTTGCCTCAACCAAATGTTATGAAACTTATAGACAATTCTTATTACCACAAAACACAAATCAAATTTGAATTTTGGTAGCGTCACTTTTACCATTCTAGAGTTATGCCCCTTTACAAATGGAAAAATTGCTGAATTTTTTAGTATCTGTTCTCTAACTATAGTTTGCCTCAACCAAATGTTATGAAACTTATGCACAATGATAATTGCCACAAAACACAGAACAAAAATTTTGGTGACGTCATTTTTACAATTCTAGAGTTATGCCCCTTTACAAATGGAAAAATTCAGCATTTCCGTTCTCTAACTTAAGTTTGCTTCAATCAAATGTTATGAAACTTATAAACAATGCTTATTACCACAAAACTCAGATCAAGTACAAAGTTGGGTAGTGTCACTTTTACTGTTCTTGAGTTATGTTCCTTTATAACATTATATGCAAGCAGGGACATCATCTGTGTCCCATTGACACATTCCCCATTTATTTAAGTTATTGCCCTTGTACCTTCGATAGATAAAATATGTGCAACACGTGGGACATTGGAACTCTGTTCTTTTATTTCATTCTTATTTTACCCTCTTTATTTTAACCTTGTTTTAACATGTTCTATGTGACAATTCCCGAGAAGAGTCCTGCACAGTAAAGGAAAAAGAATTTCCATATATCAAAAGTAATTTTCATTGTACATGTATATATATTGACTTTAATCATGGTAATTAATATATTAACATCTTATTGCATTGTGAAAAGTGACTTATCTACCATGTCAAGTAGAAAGATAACAGAGAAACTGACGAATGCCATTGGCTTTAACTTTAAACATATTGTAAATGGTTAATTTACTACAATAACATAAAGTATGTTCTCTTTTGGAATATAATTATCATGATTATATATTTGAACAGTTAGAGTTAGAAGACCAAGACAGTAAAACAAAAATGAATGCTGAATTCAGAGAACAACATGAAGAGGTAACACTCATATGTATAAAACAAAGTATGGGGTATACTGTAAATTCAGAAATTATTGCCTGCATTTTTTATTGCGATTTTTTTAAGAAAGGACAAAATGTGAGATTAATTTTTGCAATTTCAGGAAAATCTGCATACAGATATACGTTTCAGATACCAGAATGCGAGTTCTTATTATTGCAATACTCATCCTGTCGCATTTGTCACATAAATAAAAACCTCACAATAATTTCTGAATTTACAGTACATCAATAAGACAGTCCCCCAACAGCACAAAAAACTAAGATATCTAAAGGTCAACATAAGATTTTCAGTAAGGAAGGAAACCCGACTTGTAATACATAACTTAACCAAAGGAGGAAATGTGATAAAAGGAATAGATGCAAGTTAAATTTCTGTTATTATTACTATCAAAATTTACTTAAATAATGATAATTCTGTCTAGAAATAATTTCAAATCTATTGATTATATAGGCATATAAAATATTCTATTATATAAAAGTTAGTTTTTAAATCTCTTTTTAAACAACTCAAAATGTCATGACTTGGCAAATTCTGAATCAATAAGTCTTTCTTTTCATAGATTAACAGATCAGAATCAGCCTGATTTGACTTGCAGCTTCTCATTAGTCAACAAGATATTTCTTTCAGAAACTAGTAAAACATTGATCTTGAAGACATCCAACATGAATTTTTCTCATGATCAGTAAAGCAGGGGAGACATTTCAACTCATGGCCTCTTTGTTTATAGAGATTACCATTTTCTTTTCAGTAATTATGATTTTGTCTTTCAGAGATTAGCAGCTCTAAGTCAGTCATTACAGACACTTCATGCAGGAAGTGAAGAAGAGGAAATAGAAATGGATGAGTTCCCTTCAGAAAATGTATGTTTGTTTTTAGACTAAGTGTCCTAGTGATGTCGAAATTGATTAATATACATAAGAGTACAAACGAAACAACCTTCCAGTTCTCCCATTTTTATACGACAGCAAAAATTTTGCGGTCGTATATTGGTATGACGTTGGCGACGTCGTCGTCGTCATCCAAAGGCACATTAGTTTTCGCACTATAACTTTAGTTTAAGTGAATGAATCTCTTTGAAATTTTACCATAAGGTTCAATACCACAAAAGGAAGGTTGGGATTGATTTTGGGGGTTATGGTACCAACAGTTAAGGAATTAGGGGCCAAAAAGGGGCCAAAAATAAGCATTTTTGTAACTTCCAGACTATAACTTGTGTGTAAGTGTATATATCTCTCTGACATTGTACCACAAGGTTCCATATCACAAAGGGAAGGCTGGAATTGATTTTGGGGGTAATTGCCTCAAAATTTTAGGAATTAGGGGCAAAAAAGTGGCAAAAAACAAGCATTATTCTAGTTTCATGACAATAACTTGTGTATAAGTGTATGGATCCTTATGAAATTGTACTACAAGGTTCCATATCACAAAGGGAAAGCTGGGTTTGAGTTTGGGGGTAATTGCCCTAAACGTTTTAGGAATTTGGGGCCAAAAAGGGGCCAAAAAACAAGCATTTTTCTAGTTTCCAGACAATAACTTGTATCTCTATGAAATTGTACTGCAAAGTACCATACAACAAAGGGAAGGCTGGGATTGAGTTTGGGGGTGATGAATCATAAGTGGGTTCAAAAAATTTGGGGGAGGGATTTTTTTTTCCTTTTTTTTTTCTTTAAAATTTTCCATTTTAAATTGTTTATTCTGATTTATATATAAAAGCAAATAATAATGATATGGTTTGAATAGGTAAATTAAAAATTTTTAAGTTCTTCGTTCGACCACATTCATTCTGTGTTGGAAACCTATGCTGTGTCAAATATTTAATCACAATCCAAATTCAGTGCTGTATCAAGCTTGAATCTTGTGTCCATACTTGCCCCAACTGTTCAGGGTTCGACCTCTGCGGTCGTATCAAGCTGCGCCCCAGCGGAGCATTTTATTACCATTTATAGCTATATTTTTTAAATACTTCTATTAAACAAATATGAACCAAGTTTATGGGTTGGATTAAATTTATTTTGTTAATATGTATTGTCCCACATGTACAATGATGAAGGTAATTTAATCTATTATCATGTTTACTAGAAAGATGAATAATCTGATGTACTAGTAAAACTGAGTTTGATTTTTTTCTTTTCTAGACAGATGATCCAGACCGGATAGAACAAGTCAAAGTAGAGGCAGAAAAATTGAAAAAATTACAAAATTTATTCAAAGGATTAAAGTTCTACTTTAGTAGGGAAGTTCCTAGAGAAACATTAGTATTTTTGATAAGGTAAATGTTTTTTTTTTACATGTTACACAGTTTCGGTATGCAACATGACATTGAAAAAAGGCAATGGAAGGGCTTTTGTAATTGATAACAATCAAACCAAGCAACACACAAAAATAACTCAGTTAGTTTTGCATTTAATTCATGCTAGCAAAATAAACACTAGCAGATACCTACAAATATACCCTGTGGGATATCAATTGTTTGTTTAGTTAACATTATTTCATTATTAGGCTTTATTTGTCCATGCTAGTTGTGTTGTAAGTACAATTTACATGTATACTGTATATTTGGTTTTAGATATTAGAATTAAATATATAATAAAATGTGATAACAGGTCATTTGGAGGTGAAGTATCATGGTGTCACACAGTTTGTGTCGGGGCTACATATAGTGAAGATGATGAAACCATTACACATCAGATTGTTGATAGAACAGAAATGCCCAATCAGTACCTGTCAAGGTAAGAAATCAATTACAAACAGAAATGCCCAATCAGTACCTGTCAAGGTAAGAGACCAATTACAAACAGAAATGCCCAATCAGTACCTGTCAAGGTAACAAATCAATCACAAACAGAAATGCCCAATCAGTACCTGTCTAGGTAAGAAATCAATTACAAATGGAAATGCCCAATCAGTACCTGTCTAGGTAAGAGACCAATTACAAACAGAAATGCCCAATCAGTACCTGTCTAGGTAAGAAACCAATTACAAACAGAAATGCTCAATCAGTACCTGTCTAGGTAAGAAACCAATTACAAACAGAAATGCCCAATCAGTACCTGTCTAGGTAAGAAACCAATTACAAACAGAAATGCTCAATCAGTACCTGTCTAGGTAAGAAATCAATTACAAACAAAAACGCCCAATCAGTACCTGTCAAGGTAAGAAACCAATTACAAACAGAAATGCCCAATCAGTACCTGTCTATGTAAGAAATCAATTACAAACAGAAACGCCCAATCAGTACCTGTCTAGGAAAGAAACCAATTACAAACAGAAATGTCCAATCAGTACCTGTCTAGGTAAGAAACCAATTACAAACAGAAATGCAAAATCATTACCTGTCAAGGTAAGAAACCAATTACAAACAGAAATGCCCAATCAGTACCTGTCAAGGTAAGAAACCAATTACAAACATAAATGCCCAATCAGTACCTGTCAAGGTAAGAAACCAATTACAAACAGAAATGCCCAATCAGTACCTGTCTAGGTAAGAATCAATTACAAATAGAAATGCTCAATCAGTACCTGTCAAGGTAAGAAACCAATTACAAACAGAAATGCCCAATCAGTACCTGTCAAGGTAAGAAATCAATTACAAACAGAAATGCCCAATCAGTACCTGTCAAGGTAAGAAATCAATTACAAACAGAAATGCTCAATCAGTACCTGTCAAGGTAAGAAACCAATTACAAACAGAAATGCCCAATCAGTACCTGTCAAGGTAAGAAACCAATTACAAACAGAAATGCCCAATCAGTACCTGTCTAGGTAAGAATCAATTACAAACAGAAATGCTCAATCAATACCTGTCAAGGTAAGAAACCAATTACAAACAGAAATGCCCAATCAGTACCTGTCAAGGTAAGAAATCAATTACAAACAGAAATGCTCAATCAGTACCTGTCAAGGTAAGAAACCAATTACAAACAGAAATGCCCAATCAGTACCTGTCAAGGTAAGAAACCAATTACAAACAGAAATGCCCAATCAGTACCTGTCTAGGTAAGAATCAATTACAAACAGAAATGCTCAATCAATACCTGTCAAGGTAAGAAACCAATTACAAACAGAAATGCCCTATCAGTACCTGTCAAGGTAAGAAACCAATTACAAACAGAAATGCCCAATCAGTACCTGTCAAGGTAAGAAATCAATTACAAACAGAAATGCCCAATCAGTACCTGTCAAGGTAAGAAATCAATTACAAACAGAAATGCCCAATCAATACCTGTCAAGATAAGAAATCAATTACAAACAGAAATGCCCAATCAGTACCTGTCTAGATAAGAATCAATTACAGACAGAAATGCCCAATCAATACCTGTCAAGGTAAGAAATCAATTACAAACAGAAAGGCCCAGTCAGTACCTGTCAAGGTAAGAAATCAATTACAAACAGAAATGCCCAATCAGTACCTGTCAAGGTAAGAAATCAATTACAAACAGAAATGCCCAATCAGTACCTGTCAAGGTAAGAAATCAATTACAAACAGAAATGCCCAATCAGTACCTGTCTAGGTAAGAAACAAATGACAAACCAAACTGTACGTATATTTATATTTGAAAGCAGATCTATACCTTTCAAGATAATAAAACAATTATGCACCAAACTGTTGATTGAAAGAAAAATATCATCCATCAAGATACGAATCAGATTGCTGATCCAGAAATATTGAATTAGAATGTATCCACATGATCAAGGTTTATGGCAGTTTAGAATATAGCTCTTCCAAGTAATAAATAACAAATTATACCCCCACTCTAGGAGTGGTGGCATGAAAGTATGAGCTTTATTGCACTCACCTTGTTCCATCCATTCACTTGTTCATTTGTCAAAACAAATATGTTGACACACTTTTCTCAGGTACTTTTGATTCGAATGACATCATATTTGGTCAGCAGCTTGACAGTGATGGGTTGTAATTTGTCAGCACTTTTACCATCTGTTAGACACCTACTTTCTGTTTTTTCATTCTTTGAGTTATGAGTGGGGCTATACTTAGCTCTACAATCCTTTCAACTTTTGTGAGAAAAAAAATTAAAATACAAACTTGTTAGTATTGTCTTTGTAAGAACAAGTGTTTGCTATTTGTGGGATATATAGTTAAAAGGGAAAAAAAAAAGAAAATGTCAGAATCTTCTCAAGCTACTAAAATGTGTCTTCATTGGTTTCCTAAAGAATTATATACATTTATTCTGACAGGTTTTTCAAATCCTATTAAGTGGTGAGCTAAATGTAGATTATGAAATTTATCCATGGAAGTTGATTTATATAAAATATGGCATCTTCTTCAAGAGTAATTTGAAAAAAATATTTAAACTGTTGAATAAATATGAAATTCTTCTGCAGGTACTATATTCAGCCACAGTGGGTGTTTGACTGTATAAATTCCAGACAACTACTTCCTGTTGAGGACTATTTTATTGGAGCTGTGTTACCACCACATCTGTCGCCATTTGTTCAGGAAGAAGAAGGGGATTATGTACCTCCAGAAAGGAGATCTCAACTGACTGGACAGGCAGCTATAGATTCTGGTAATACATTTATCAAGTGTTGTAAAAAACCTTTAATTGACACAGTGAATCTTATGGTCCTGTATTGTTTAGTCTCCGTAAATAAGTCAAGATTTATCTGCTGTCAAATTTTCAGACCAATTGGACCACCCATTGTAGGGTTACTGTCTGAAATAGTTTATTTTTATGAAATATTACTGTTTTTGGTTATTATCTTAAATATTATAATAGATAGAAAGAAAGTGTAAATGGCATAAAGTTTCAGCTAAGTAGGATTTACAAAAACATCAAATGATCAAAATACTCAATTGACTCGTTAAGGAGTTATTTCCCTTGGAATGTTTATTTTTTACATTTTTTCATGCAAGTCTACTACTTTTTCAAAAATCTTCAGTTCTGAAACTACTGGGCCAAATACTTCCAAACTTTAACTGATGGTTCCTTAGGGTATCTAGTTTATAAATTGTATTCAAAGTTTTGATCCATCAACAAACATGGCCGCCATGGCTAAAATTAAAACATAGGGGACATAAGCAGTTTTTGGCTTATATCTCAGAAACTACAGCAGCTAGAGCAAAAGTGAAAGGGAGTTAAAGTGATAAATGGGTCATGATCTATCTATTATGAAATTTTCAGACAATAAATGTTCAGCTAAGTAAGATCTACAAATAAGTCAACATAATCAAAATAGTCAAGTCACACCTTAAGGAGTTATTGCCCTTTAAACGTTTTTTATTTTACATTTTTTGTGAAAGTCTAATTACTTTTTCAAAAATCTTCTTCTCTGAAACTACTTGGCCAAATACTTAAAAATTTAAATTGAATGCTCCGTAGGGTGTCTAGTTTATAGATTGTATTCGGGGATTTGATCCATTAAAAATCATGGAGGCAGTTTCTAAAAATAGAACCGAGGGGTCAAATGAAGATTTTGACTTTCATCTCAAAAACTAAAGCAGTAAGAGCAAAACTGACATAGGTGAAAGTGTTAAACAGGTTTAGATCTACCTGTCAAGTAATCTTCAGACCAATAGGATAACTTATTGTTGGGTTACTGTCCAGAAATAGTTAATTTTTAGGAATTATTTTGTTTTTGGTTATGTTTTATCTTTGATATTATAGAAAGTGAGAAAGTGTAAATGACAAAATTGTTCAGCAAAGTAAGATCTACAAATAAGTCAAATGCCTAAAACTGAAATTACAGGTGAGCGATATTAGGCTCTCACGAGCCTCATGTTTATAGGTGTGAATCAAATGACTTAAATTTTATTATAATTTATAAGCCAGAAACATATGGATTTTTTTTAAGTAGGACTACATAAGAAGTTTATCTTTTCCTTTTTTCCAGGGACCAAGTTAACCTCAAACTTTACCTTTTATTTTTTTGGAGCTCATAACTCTTTTTTCTATTATTACAAATAACATGAATATGAGAGGGGTTGAATACTCAACAAAGCCAAAGCCCTATCTTCCCCTTTAACATGTTTAATAAGGATTTGGAGCAGCCCCTACTCCACAATCTTTCTCCTTTTGATAAGGAGGAGCAAAATACACTCAAAACCTTCTTTACTACTTTAAAAAAGGCCAAATACCAGACAAAGTCCTACCTTTATTTTTATTTACCAAATACTTCTCAAAACATACCTGCAATTATTTTTGCATGAAGAAAGACACCCATAACTTTCTCCTTTCTTTTTTAAAAGATATTTTGCATGATGAGCATCTGTAACTGTTATATGAATCTTCTTCCAGTATGGGGGTACCTCAAGTGATGAGTAATCCTCAATCATAAATAAAAATTTATATATCCTCACGTTAAAGTTGAATAATTTTCGCCTTCTGCAGTTGACTACAAGCTTTCTACTATCAGTTTTTTAGACTTATGATTGAAAATTATACGTAATACTAAAGTTATATAGGTAGATCAAACATGTTCATCTAAATCATGACAAAATGGGATGTATAGGTGTTGACAATTATCTGCTTTTTTGAGGTGTAGAAGTTGTGTCAGATGAAGAAGATAGTGATGATGAACAGGAAGAAGACCAGGATGAAAAAGAAAATGAAAGCGATGAAGAGGAAGCAGATGAAAGTGAAGGTTATTATTTGCACTAATTTAATAATGCAATACTTAAGAAACAGAATGAAATTTTATAACAGCATTAAAATAGATCTGGTTTTGTTGGGTCTTGGATTTTATTTTATTATCTTTTTTTCACATAGGTATCAGTTGATAACAATCTTTTAATGTTGATACTGTTGATTCAGAATTTTTTGCATTTATTATTACCATTGTTGAATAATGGACAACAATGTGACATTAATTATTACGAGGTCAGTGAATGTTGCAATCAAAAAATGCTTTACAAATCAAAATGTGTAATTTTAGTTTTGCAATAATTATATCTAGTCACAACTTCCGCAATAATAAAAATATCCCCAAAATTTCTGAATTTATAGTATTTAGTCATTTTGTATTTTTTTGTTTTTTTTATCTTTTATCTTGCCTCAAGTCTTTTATATTTTTGTGTTTTATTCTGTTTATAATCATGTTGAAACAATATTATAGTATAAAAATTTAAATATGCTGTTCAATGAATAAATGTTGAATCATTTTGTAATTATTTTTTTTTCTAATTTTCAAAAAGCAGAAGAACAACCAACAAAGAAAGGAAAGAAAAGAAAGCTTGATACTTCTGGAAGTGAAAAGAAAGAAATACCAACAAAGGTAAGATAAGTGACAGTAAATAGCATGTAATTCTTATTGGCAGTCTATAAAACTGACTTTAAGCAACGGTTGATGAAAATTTTGTGAACAAAGAATTGTCAAAGACATTGGTGTTTTCAAATTCTTATTATCGACTTCCTTTTTATGATGGAATTCTTGAGGAATTAAACATCAGTTCTGACAGTAAAAGTAATAATTTGCTTTGTTCTCTAGGAATTCAACATCTGTATTTTGTCAGTAAATGCAATGATTTGTTCAAGCTATAATTTGTTTTTATTGTTTTGGGATTAAACACTCGTTCTATGTCAATCAAAGCTATAATTTGTTTTATTCTTTAGGGATTAAACACTCGTTCTATGTCAGTAAAAGCTATAATTTGTTTTATTCTTTAGGGATTAAACACTCGTTCTATGCCAGCCAAAGCTATAATTTGTTTTATTCTACAGGGAGTAAACACTCGTTCTATGTCAGTCAAAGCTATAATTTTTTTTATTCTTCAAAGATTAAATACTCGTTCTATGTCAATCAAAGCTATAATTTATTTTATTCTTCAGGGAGTAAACACTCGTTCTATGTCAATCAAAGCTATAATTTGTTTTATTCTTCAGAGATTAAATACTTGTTCTATGTCAATCAAAGCTATAATTTATTTTTTTCTTCAGGGATTAAATACTCGTTCTATGTCAATCAAAGCTATAATTTGTTTTATTCTTCTGGGATTAAACACTCGTTCTGTGTCTGTAAAAGCTATAATTTGTTTTATTCTGTAGGGATTAAACACTCGTTCTATGTCAGTAAAAGCAGGAGAATTGGAGGTAGACAATGTTGATTTAAGATTACAGAGACAAACTAAAGAAGAAAAACGACTAGCAGAAATGATGATCCCTAAAAAGAAGAAAAGGTTATATGACAAGATGATGTATTCTAAAAAGAAGAAAACACAGGAGGTAAGTTAGGGAATTTTTTTTCAAACTGAAGATTAGGTTTGGTAATCTGTAACCAGATCTACATGATATATACAATACTGTTGATTCGTATTTACTCATGGGATACCTACTGTTGATTGATTATTACTCGTAGGATACCTACTGTTGATTGATTATTACTCGCTGGATACCTACTGTTGATTGATTATTGCTCGTGGGATACTACCCGTGGGATACCTACTGTTGATTGATTATTGCCCGTGGGATACCTACTGTTGATTGATTATTACTCGTGGGATATCTACTGTTGATTGATTATTACTCGTGGGATACCTACTGTTGATTGATTATTACTCGTGGGATACTACCCATGGGATACCTACTGTTGATTGATTATTGCTCGAGGGATACTACCCGTGGGATACCTACTGTTGATTCATTATTGCCCGTGGGATACCTACTGTTGATTGATTATTACTCGTGGGATACTACCCATGGGATACCTACTGTTGATTGATTATTGCTCGTGGGATACTACCCGTGGGATACCTACTGTTGATTCATTATTGCCCGTGGGATACCTACTGTTGATTGATTATTACTCGTGGGATACCTACTGTTGATTGATTATTACTCGTGGGATACCTACTGTTGATTGATTATTACTCGTGGGATACCTACTGTTGATTGATTATTACTCGTGGGATACTACCCATGGGATACCTACTGTTGATTGATTATTGCCCGTGGGATACCTACTGTTGATTCATTATTACTCGTGGGATACCAACTGTTGATTCATTATTACTTGTGGGATACCTACTGTTGATTCATTATTGCTCGTGGGATACCTACTGTTGATTCATTATTACTCGTGGGATACCTACTGTTGATTGATTATTACTAGTGGGATACTACCCATGGGATACCTACTGTTGATTGATTATTGCTCGTGGGATACCTACTGTTGACTGATTATTACTCGTGGGATACCTACTGTTGATTGATTATTACTCGTGGGATACCTACTGTTGATTGAATATCTTGTGGGATACCTATTTTTGTAGATTTATTGGGTAAAGGTAAACTTGGAATATAAATGTTCAGCAAAGTACAATATTTTTATAGACATATGCAAACTGTGGCATAATCACAAATTTAAATATTCATGAAAATACAATTTTGTCTCAATCCACCAAAGTTGGTACCCACATAATGAATAAAGTCACAGGTTTTGTTTTTTGGTGTCAGAGCCTTTGACCACACTTTACATGAGAATTGCAAATATCAATAGTTTACTCTTGAAATATGAACAAAGTGAACAAAAAAAGGCAGAAGAAAGGAACAAATATAATCATATGTCAAAGAAAATCCACATAAAACAAACAACAATGTACAAAACACTACACAGAAAACTAAAGATTGTGCAAAAAAATCCCTATAAAATGATAAAAAAAACATTGTGTGATCTCAGGTGCTCAGGAATGTAAGCAGATCCTGCTTCACTGTCAGGTTGCTCAGGGCAAGTAAACGTTCACAATCTGTGATGTCACAATTGAAGAAAAGAAAACCAGATTGTGGCTACCAAAATACATGAAATAAGACCATATGAATGGTCATTTGTGACAGATGTTCCATATTATGATTGGGAACAGGTTATTACAGGTGATTGATTCAATTTTTGGGCTGAGCATCTTTTGAAATTATGTTTGTTTAAGATTGAATAATATGCCATCAATATAAATGTCTGATAATATTTACTCACGTTTGTTGAAAAATGGAAAACATTATCCTCTTTCATAGAAACTTATCATGCCTACATGTTATGCTAAAAATACTTTCATTTTTTGCAGGCTAAGGTATTAGAAGAAAAGAGGAAATCTATTGAACTGTCAAAAAAGTCAGAGAGAAAGAGAAAGAGAAAATCTACATCCTAAAAAATATTGTCTAATTTAATAAAACATGTTAAGAGGACTTCACACTGGTTGATTAATACTAATATGAAATAAAGAGATGTGGTATGATTGCCAATGAGACAACTATCTACAAGAGACCAAATAACGTAGATGTTAGCAACTACCTATCACGGTACCACATACCAAGCTATGGAAGTCTCTGACATGACAAAAAGGAAAACAATTGTAAGGAGAAGACAGATGACCTGATTTATGAACAAAACAACAAATGAAAAACAAGAATGATATACAGCAACAAATGTCAACTTCTTAATTACGGCTCCTGACTTAGGACAGGCACATACAGAAGTGGCAGGGTTAAACATATTCCTTTTAAATTTTTGAAAAATAGATAATAGTTGTTTTTGACCTGGACTATAACATTGATATTTCATTTGTGTAATGGGCTTTATCAAATCTTATCCTAGCTATACATTTTGTCCATAAATCTGAGGAGCTTATCATTTGCAACATCAATGTACGAAAAATCTGGTAATAGATTTATTCAGTTTTATTTTTGTGGTTTTCATGATTAAAACTATATTTTTCCTGTATTTGGCATTACCAAGAGGAAGAAGACTAGATTTTTATTGTTTGTTATTATGTTGGGCTATTACTCCACTGTCCCATGTCAGACGGAGTATAGGACGAACATAAACATGTTTAACATCGCCACATTCTGTATGTACCTGTACCAAGTGAGGAGTCTATTATTCAGTACTTGTCTTTTGTTGCTGTATATCATACTTGTATTTTGTTTATTGTTTTGTACATTAATCAGGTCCTCACATTTCTTGTTTAAATTGATTTACATCTTGATGTCGGGGCCATTTATAGCTTGCTGTGTGGTATAGTTTTTGCATTATGCACCAGGCAACGATGCTGCCATTTTGATGCAATAGTGCTAGATTTGAGCCCAAACTTTGATGAAAATAAATATTTGATTTATGGAAGAAAACATTAGCCACCTGCATTAGCTAACATAATATTTTCTGAAATGATTGTATAACATGCATCTCTTTAAATTTTCTTTAATATTTTTTTTTGTCCAATGGTGGTACCAATGTTTCCAATAAGAAAAAAGACATCGAAAATAGACCTAAAAAACAAAAGATCCAGCATCAATTGCAAACATCCTTTAAGTGTGAATGAAGGCTGAAAGCATACCTAATGATATTCTAATATATTACATAATTTAATGCTAAACTTCTGCCTGGATGAATGCTGATGTGTTGACAAATTAGATTCTATAATTTTGACTATTTTACTTGTAGTGTACATCTCAGATGACCAGTGTGAGCTATTGCCACACTTGTGTCCGTCGTCTTTCTGTGATCTGTCAGTTATGTGTCCTTTTTATGCCTGTCTTACCATAGTAAATGGCAGTATGATTTTTGGTCTGTTCGTTTGTCCTTTCATTTGTCCTATCATGTATCAGGTTAAATTTTTTGATTAAGGTAGTGCACCCTGACGTTAAGGTCACATCAACTTGAAACTAAGTACACTTGTACATTATGATAGTTCACTGAAAATAGTCTTGTGTAGTATGAATATTGTACATTTTCAGGTTAGTTTTTGTCTTGCCTTGACAAAGTCAAGAAGGGAGACATAGGTATGCTGTTTCCGGCGTCGTCGGCAGCGTCAACAATGTATTAGTTTGTGATTAGGTCTAGTTTATTGTGAACCACTAGTGGTAGATCAATGATATTTGGTATGCAGTTGTATTAGCATTGGCACATCTCGTAACCATGGAGATTATTTGGCCCCGGCCCCTCAGTCATGGTCTATTGACTTTGAAACTTTGCTAAGTTTGTGATTAGGTCAGTTTAGGACACAAGCAGTTACAGTTAAGTCTGCCTCATATCTTGACTTGCATATAGAAATTGACAATGAGGGTCGGTTGAAAACAAAACTTTATGACAAAAGAGATGATTTCAGCTTCCCAATTGTGAATTTTTCATTTCTATGTAGCAACATTTCCGCAGCCCTGCATACGGAGTATATATCTCCCAATTAATAAGATATTCCCGGGCTTGTATTTCCTATCATGATTTCCTTAATAGAGGGTTGCTGCTCACAAGGAAGCTATTAAACCAAGAGTTCCAAATTGTGAAGTTGAAATCATCACTTTCGTAAATTTTACGGACGCCATCACGAGTTGGTTGACCGTTATGGAATATCCGTTTCACAGTTGATAGAGGATATGTTCCTAATGTCGTAACTACAATCCTGTTCCCTTTTCATGAATGTTACCTACCGAATTAGACTATTTACCAGGTTTGTACCAACATGAGCAACACAACGGGTGCCACATGTGGAGCAGGATCTGCTTACGCTTCCGGAGCACCTGAGATCACCCCCAGTTTTTGGTGGTGTTCGTGTTGCTTAGTCTTTAGTTTTCTATGTTGTGTTTTGTGTACTATTGTGTGTCTGTTTGTCTTTTTCTTTTTTAGCTATGGTGTTGTCAGTTTATTTTCAATTTATGAGTTTGAATGTACCTCTGGTATCTTTCGCCCCACTTTTACTTTTGACATTTCCATGGAGATTATTTGGTCCCGCCCCCTCAGTCATTGTCTATTGACTTTTAAACTTCTGCTTAGTTTTCATGTATTAGTTTGTGATTAGGTCAGTTTAAGGGGAACCGTTAGTGGTAGGTCAATGATAATTGGTATGCAGTTGTATAAGCATTAGCACATCTCATTTCCATAGAGAATATTTGGTCCTTACCCCTCAGTCATGGTCTATTGACTTTGAAATTTTTGCTTAGTTTACATGTATTAGTTGGTGATTAGGTCAGTTTAAGATGAACCACCAATGTTAAGTCAATGATATTTGTATGCAAATGTATTGGCATTTACAAGTTTCATTTCCATGGAGATTATATAACCCCATCCCCTCATTATGGTTCATTGACTTTGAAACTTTTACATGGTTTACAAGTTAATGTTTGTGTTTAGGTTTGTTTACAGGGAATGACTTATGAAAAGTCAATAGTATTTGGTATGCAGTTGTATTAGCATTGGCTCATCTTATTTCCATGGAGATTGTTTAGCCCTGTAGCTTCAGTCATGGTTCATTGACTTTGAATATTTGCATAACTTACATGTTAAGGTATTGCAATTTTAATTTCAACATTTGCATTATCAAAATAACAAATAGGCGAGACATATCTCTGTTTTAACAGTTTATTGGTTAAGATAGCTGACCGGAAGTAGTGGTCACATCAACTTTTATCTTAGTTCACATGTTCATTTTGAGGCCAATTTTTAAAATTGTATGGAAAATTAGATTTTAACTCCAATTTCTTGGTTCAGTAAACATGGACATATGTTAGTATGAGTTGGACATTGTTATGAACACTTATTCTTGTTTCGACCAGAAAACCAATTGGCAAATTGAATTGAAATTTAACAAGTGTGCAATATACATAGGATTTTTACTTTCGATATTGCCTCAAATTTGTCTACTTACCAACAAAAATCGCAAAATATACAATCAACATAACAAATAAGGCAAAATATAAGCCTAATGTCAACATTTAGTCACTGCACTTTTTAAGTATCCTGATGATTTTATGATATAGTTTTATATAAGAGTTATAAACTACCTTTAATTAGTTTTGTTTCAGTTGATGCATATTCATAATGAGTTTGGTCTTTTCAAATTTCAAAGATATAGTTTTCATAGAGTTTGGTATTTTGTAATTGAAGAAAACGATTTCTAATCTAACATTTCAATATGGTCAAAATTTGAATTTAGTAAATTATCTGAATTAATGAATTTTTTTCACAGTGTTATTGGATGGATATCTTACAGGATTAGTTCGTGTACAAATTACTTGAAAAGCTACAGCAAGTACTTGAAACTTATCTGAATATGTTCAACAATTCGTTCAGAGTAATTAAGTACACATTCAACTTGTAAATCTTGAATTTAAATCCCAATTCCGTTTATAACAACATTTATCACTGCAATAAGAAATGTCAGTATCAGCACTGTTGTGTTGATCCGGTCATTTAGGATGTCTCTTGATCTTCTAATATTGGCTTTTACTTCTATTTGATCTTCCGTTTCCATGGCACTAGATTCCCTATCTCTTTTTTTTAGATTTGAACTTTTCTGTTCTCTTGGTGCCAATATAACCAGCATAATTCCAGCTGTTACTTGCAACAATATTGACACACACAACAAAGCTACACCAGCTATACACTTATCATTATCTCCACATTTCCCTGTCTGCAGTAGATTCTTCATTAGAGAAACATTTGACACAAGTAACGCTGTTGTTAGACTGCCTTGTGATCCAGTCTTTTGGTGGACATAAGCGTTCTTCATTCTGTTTTCTTTTTTAATGAAATGTAATAAAAATACAAAACAGTAATTAATCACAGTATAAATAATATGGCATATGTAGATAATTACAATAACAATTTCTCCTCAACATAGTGGAATAAGTGAACGAACGCGAAAAGTGAAATATCTACTATTTCAGTTTGTGATTCAACTTTGAAGGTTCGCTCCTCTATTGTTCCAGAAAATCATACTTGTATCTATATGACCAGTAATAATTTTCGAACACTTTAAATATGCAAAACACTCACTTGCAAATCCGGCGCCACACTTTCTTAAAGATACCGTGTCATGTAAATTACCAAAATGGGCGGAACAACATGGGAGTTACTAAATACCAAGTTTTAAAGCTCTAGATTATAAAGTTCTTTTGCAATTTGAATTTAAATAAACATGGGATTTTATAGGAATACACCCTGTTTTGTAATTTTCTGACGCGCTTAGTCAGTGTTTTTCTAATTAGCTCACAAGGTAACAGTCATGATATTTCACCATGGCCACATGCAATATTCTGACTTCGAATCGACCATTTATTGAAAGAAGTCCAAAATAATTTGTTTTTAGAGGCGAAGTAACGAACTTTAAAAAAATATTTTAAAATTAAGCTTCACATGACCTGGAGTCATATTGTCGGCCCTTCCCTCTTGCGCTGGAGGCAGGTATATTAAAATATTGGGAAGTGAGCTACACTAATGTAAGTAAATCCAGAAAAGTGCATAGGACGTTCCAAATTTGTAAAGTGTTATTTTCATATTTTTTTTAATACACGCATAAAAATTCAAACTTAAAATTAGTTACGCGTGTCTCTTTCTTTTTTTCTAAAATGGGTATATTGAAAATGTTCACTTTGTCAGTTTCAGATAACTCATGATAACTGATCAAGTTTCCTTGATTATTGTTATATAAAGGAATGAAATAGTATATTCATCAATGAAGTCTTTTCAGGACGGTTACTAGATACCGCGAAAGATAAAAGGTATGGAAGTAAAAAAAGAATATGTCCGTGTTCTTGGTTTTATGCTTGATGTCGTTGCATTGGCGACGTATCATACATTATTCTGTCACGCGATTTATATCGGTAGAAATCAGTCTTACTGTCATTATTCAGTAACCTTTGTCCTATTGTAATACCTATTGTCTGACCAGTCGAAAAATTGTCAATACAATTTTTCCATTTAAATTGTACAAAAGGTGGTCAGTCAGCTACCTGTAGCTTTACCTGGTTGGTTTTTACCCCAACAATTTTTTTCCTTGAGAGTTTTTGTGTTGTATTTCCATAACAAAGTAAAGTTATAAATCTGATGTGAAAAAAAAAGAATAAAAAAATAGGTTAAATGACCTTAGACAACAGTTTTGGGCCTCTATTCTTTGGTAATTAAAGATAATCTAGCTGTCAATAGGTCCAGTTCCATAAATTTGTGTTATTGGGTTACTTTCTAGTTGACGTATGTGTCAAATCTCTTTTTATTCATAATCTATTACAGCCAGTGTGATATCAAAGGGATAATATTTACTTCACTTATTTATGAATGAGAGAGAACTATAAAAGTAACCAGTATATTGCACACAATGTTACTATAAGAACAAAATCTTGATGAGTAATGTATATTTGTAATAGACATAATAACATGAACAGGATATATGTATTAATGGCCATAAATTCTGAACCAGTGAGGCTAAGTATATCCACAATGATGAAAGATGTTTTCAGAACTTGTTCAATTGATGTTGTTAACAACAGAGTTACAAATAGCCAGTTCCATATGCTCTTTGTAATAATGGTTTCTCCCTTTTATGCCATCTTTAATGAGATTCAAGCAATATTCACAAGTGTTTAGTTCAGAGTGACAAGGGGGCTGATATTTAGAGTTTCACCATTAACTCTAAATAAATGCTGAAGTTGATTTTGAATTAACCTTGAATGATGGAATTTACAGATATCTATTTTCACAATATCTCCAGGTGTAAATATAGGTGACCCATAGAACCTCTGGTGGAAAACCTCCACAAAAAATTAATTAATGCAAATTATCTGATGGTCCTACAAAATGGAAGTATTCTTTTACAGCACGACTGTGCATTAAATTCACCATTAATCTTGCACTTTATGCATAGCGTTGAACTTCAGTAGGTTCATGTCCATATAAAGCATATCCATTTTTTTATTTTTTACTCTATTTGTGCTGTTTGTGGTTCCTTTAGAACTACTCTGATTTTCTTTCTAGTAAACAAAAGATAATTTTTAAAAGACTTGCTGATTGACTTTTGACTTGGACAGTTTTCAATTAGACACATTCCAGTGTCTATCAAATTTTGTTAAATCTTTTGTAACTGGATGGAAGGTTGTCTTTCAGTAAAAATAAAATACATTCTATAATTTCATTTGTCGTAATCTTTCTTGTATTTCTTGGAACAGTAATTGTTGGTTTATTGTTGTAAAAGTATTTGTAAACTGTTGGCATGGGTATTCCAGTAGTTTTCACTATTTTGGATATTGTGCTACCTTTTTTAAATAGCTTATTGTTTTTGTTTTTTTTACTTTTTCATCAATACATATACCAGGTTATAAAACTATTTTTTTTAGATATCATCATATTAATTTAAACAAGAGAGTAAACACTCTTCCAAATTTATGACCTACTAAATGATAAAATTTAAATGACTGATAGCTAGCTTGCTTTCCTCAGGTATAATGACCAGTGTCCTGAATGTACAATTCTATTTAGTTATGGGGAGATTAACATTATATACACGATTTTGTCTTTTTGATAAATATCTTTATTGTAAATTTACTTTATTTTGCCAGAAATAAGTCAATTTTAGTTTGAAAATTTGTAAATATTTTGCAAAATGAGGATAAAAGTTAATTTCTATACACTTCAATATACCTCTGACCCCTTTGAAATAAAAAAAAAATTGCCAGTTGCAAGCACCTTCTATAAAGCCTTTTCTTTTGGTGTTTCTAAACAGTCAAGAAGGAAATTTCAATCAGTGAATTTTTAGTTTAATTTGGGCCAGAGTTTTTGAAATATGAAGAAACATTTCTGGAAAATAAGTTTAGGGATAGTAGTTCCATCGTGCCATGGACATATATATATATGGATTTAGATGCTATATTTTGTGAGTCGCCATTACCATTGGATAGAAAACGAAAAATTCAAATGGCAGTAAGAAACTTAAAAGCTGCAACAACAGTATATCCAGTTAGTGTGGATCAGCCTAGACTTAGTATACTGCCTTCTAATGAGGTAATAGAGCAACATCCAAACGGGATGGAAAAAATCAGAGAGCAAATGTGATATTAAATAAAAAGAGAGAACAAAATGTCACTTAAATGCTGGAAGAAGGGATATACTTTTATAAATTTTGACTTGGATGGAGAGTTGTCTCATTGGCACTCATACCACATCTTCTTATATCTATATATGGATGTTATAGTATTTGACCCTGAACCAATTGGTCCATACAAAATTACCAGGTGTGGAAATTGCCATTTGCATGGCATGGAAAAGAGGCTGATTGGAACATTGACAACAAACCCTGTTCCCTTTCGAAACGCACAAACAGGAAATACTGTGACCAGAGGGATAGATATCAAGTCTACAAAAAAAGAGTCAAAACAGATATAGAAGGATATCAAAAATGTTGATAAAGAAATTGAGGACTTCAAAAATATTGTCTTTTCAGCAAAAAAAAAAAAAATAAAACCAGCATCTTTCATAAGTGTATCTAAGGAACATTTAAGGGCTACCAAAAACAGAGATACCTGAATACACACAACCTGATGAGAGATGTTATAGCTCTTAAAAACTCAAATGAAAATGAGATACCATTTCATCCACATTTCCAGGACAAGGAAAACTTTTCTTCCATTCTACGTAATCAAATTTACAAATATACTGCATGATACCAGGTGCCAAAAGTGTCCTCTTGTTATGGAGACATTTCTGACATTGATGAGTTGCCTCCTTTGATTAATCCTGCAAAAATGTTGATGCCATCTGCAACCATCACCAGCTCACCACCTCTCAGTAACCAAACTCTATATGTTGTTGCCCCTTTCACCAGTAATCAGCAAATGGCACCACCAGTTTTCAGGTCTTCAACAACAAACCAAAATGAGAACATAGTCTTCCTTTACAGTCAACAGTGTCAAAATCCATATGCATTTTATCCAGTGTATCATATATTTTATCCATATTATTATTCATATGCATATATGCATACCAGCAAATTAAAACATGCATGTTCATCCACCATTACCCTTGGATCCTCTACCAAAAAATCCTCCACTATCAGACTCGGAATAGTTCAAAAACAGGATATAATGTTTACTTAATGGTGATATCAATGTAGGATATATTTTAATTTTAAGTTTCTGATTCCTGATATGGACTTTCATCACTGATTTTTATTAAATTTGTATTCAACTAAAGCGAAGAACTGCTAATGAAAATAGAAAAAATTTCGACGATTTATTCCACACGATGCAGAAGTTTAAACTTTATTTATAGAAAACTGGATTGCGATAAATCAAACTGGACTTTAAAAAGTTTTTGACTATTTAGTATTGTAAAATCAGCACAGTATGTCAAGTAATTTGAAGTCTACAGTGTTTCATGTAAATTTCCTATATGAAAATTTTACTGAAAGTGAATCATGCAAGTGTACTACATACCAAGTTTGTATTTAAAAAAGCATGGACACAATTACCAAACATCATAAATTAAAAAAAAAAAATCTATACGCTTATAAAATGAACAATATCCTCCTCCTATTAGATTATATATAGAATATGGATGAAACATTGAATGCATTTACTTATCAATTTGGAGTGTCTTTGAATCTAAATTATGCAGTGCCACACATTCATCTCTGTTTTACTCACTATATATAAGGAGATATGATAATATCACTAATGAGACAACAATCCAAAAGAACAAAGATGTAATCAACCTCACCATTTTGTACATGGCACAGTTTTCAATGATGGGCCGACCCTTAACATGTCATACAAAAGGCTGCAAAAAACAAAATGTGAAACAATACAAAACAATACCAATGATTGATGTACCAATAACTGATGTAAGCTAATATCGGTTAACAAAAACAATTAAAAATAACAGCAACTAACCACAACCAGTGGACTGCAGGCTTCTGGTTCGGCCTGTACATAAAAAAAAATAATTTGGCAGAGTTGGACATATTTGTGAGTGCTCGATATGATTCTCAACCCCTACCCTTGGGCAGTATTGTTACAGCATAAAATCATAATTTACTGTTAAAATGAGTTTGGAAAGGAAGATAAAAAGACTGGAAATATTGAAGTTTTTGCAGTTTCAAGCTAAATTTAAACTTATGGATAAGCTATATAATTGTCCATAATCTATAATGTAATGATATATTTATCAGTTTTGATATCATCCTAATCCTTTCTGCTCACTCATAGTTCAAATACTAAGGTATTTTAAAGCTATACAATCAACTCATTTCATAAATGCAAATTGTTGGAATAAATTGCAGATAATCTGAAACTGATATGACCCAATACTCTTAAGAAATATTGTAGAAGAAAATGGGATTGTTCATTTGAAAGCAGGATGCAAATGACAAAATATTCATTATTTTTTGTATTATATCACTTTATGTCAACTAAATTCTAAGGGCTGTAATTCAGAGAAAAATATGTCATATGGTATGAATCACATTAAGTACAGTTCAAATGCTGTGAATGTAAATAAAGGAAACAGTAGCATACCGCTGTTCAAAAGTCATAAATCGATTGAGAGAAAACAAATCCGGGTTACAAACTAAACCGAGGGAAACACATCAACTATAAGAGGAAAACAACGGAACAACAGAAACACTGAAGTGCAACAAAAACAAACGCCAATGCAACATACATAGAAACAAACTATTTGATAACAACTGCCAGACATTTTAAGCCTTCAACTATGAGCGAAGACCATACTGTATAAATCAGCTATAAAATACCCTGACAAGACAAACTGTGTTCATTGATAAAAAAAAGCTTCTTATATTCTATTTTATTATGACAACTATTCGATTTCTTAAGCTCAGAATGACAGATATAAATAACACTATAAAAATCAAAACCAATTTTAAGTTTTATATAAGTACATATACATTTGAAATACCAGCTTTTATGATTTATTTCTTTATACTTTAAGATAAAAAGATAACTTTTATTGCGTAACTATGCCGTTTGTTGCTAAAATTTGTTTTTAAATTGTTTTTTTTAATTGGAGTTATGAATGAATTAGACATGAGCTATATACAATATTAATCATGGGTAGGTAAATTTAGTTGCTGATACAATTTACGACACAGTAACTGTAGATCACAGGTGATTAAGTCATTATTCAATAGTTGAGGAACCACCTGTTGATAAGCTCTCACAATACCTTTTGTAAATTTAAATGGACAAATTGTATTGACAATTTTTCAAACTGGTCAGACAATAGGTACTACAATAGGACAAAGGTTACTGGATAAGGACAGAAATTACCTGTCAAAAAGTAAAGAAATTATAAAAAGAATTTGAAAACATTTTGTCAAAAGTATTATTGATATGAAAGGCTGTATATTAATTCAGAAATGTGAGAAGCAATTTTTTCGAACTTGTATATACTAAAGCAAAACAAGGACATCATTGGTGTCACCTGAGACTACTGTAATTATTACAAAACAGTAGTCTCAGATTTCACTAACAAAGTACTTCAATTGAATATTATACTTGATTTTCTGAGAATTGATTCTTTTTCGTGAAATTTATTATGTTTTTCAGGGATTCGTTTTTTTTTACTCACGTGTAAAGCTCCTTCAAAAATTGTATTTTTTCTTTTCTCAATATGTTATCTGTTTTCATGTGCTCTAAATAATATATTTGTTTTTATAACGTTCTGCATGCGGTTCCATAAAGATGATAAATGTTTGGTGTACCTACATTACATAATTTTATATCTACTGCATTGACGTCCTAATACCGTGATACAAGAATTACGGAGCAACTGAGCAGAGTGATATAGGCATGATAAGCGAAGGGAAGGACGATAAGCACATTTATGAAGAACTGGTCAGAGCGATAAAGCACAGGAAAGACCGATGTCATATAATGTCATGTTTACAATAATGCAAACTGTGATATGTCACATGTCATGTTTTCGTGAATGTAAACTGTGATATGTCATATTTCATGTTTCGAGAATGTAAACTGTGATATGCCATATGTCATGTTTACAAGATTTCAAACTGAAATATGCCATTTCATGTTTGCACAAATACAGGCATGTATAATATTGTATGCGCATGAAACTTACTGCAAACTATACAGAAATATGTAGAATATGTAAACTAAAAAAAAAAATAAAAAGCACTCACCCTCAATCTACATCAATTTCATTCTAATAATAAAGAAAGATACTATTTACCTGTATAACAAAAAGAAGAAGGAAGCATTAAAATCGTTACGACTCAATAGACAAGGACTAACAATAAGAACGGAACTTACACCTAACCAAACTGAAGTTTTTTTTTATAATTTGTAATTTACAAAAGGTTCACTTTAAGACCGAAATGTTTAATAATATACAGAATTGGATATACTGTATAGTTCACTGAATCCAGTCGATTAAGATTTGTTTAAGGTTTTTTTATCCAAGTATGTCAAGTCTAAAGTTAACAGTTTGATAAATCCAACAGGTATAATATAGTTCACAAGAAGACTGTCTACATATTCCACAATTAATTAAGACATCCAACAGTAAGTAATATTGTCAAAAGATGATAATAACTCTACCTATGAAAATGTAAAATCCACAATGTACAAAAAATGTAGTAACACCTCTGATAACAGAACCAGTTGGTACATTCACTGTATTTGGTTTGTCATGATTTTTGTTGGAGGTTTCCCAACATTGACTTATTTCCTTTCCTAAATATAATAAATCAATTTAAGCAGCGAGTTTTTTCTACTTTAAGATAGAGTTTTTATACGACCGCAAAATTTTTGCGGTCGTTTCATGCTATGACGTCGTCGTCGTCCGAAGACATTTGGTTTCCAGACAATAACTTGTGTACAAGTGAATGAATCTCTATGAAATTGTACCACAAGGTTCTATACAACAAAAAGAAGGTTGGGATTGATTTTGGGGTTATTGTCCTAAATGTTTAAGAATAAAGGACCAAAAAGGGGACACAGACAAGCATTTTTCTTGTTTCAGGACAAGAACTTGTGTATAAGTGGATCTCTATAAAATTGTACCACAAGGTACCAAACCTCTAACATGTCTAAAGGAAGAGTGGAATTGATTTTGGAGATTATGACCCAAACCGTTTATGAATAAGGGGCTAAAAGGGGCAAGACAACTAGGATTCTCTGGTTTACGGACAATAACTTGAGTATAAGATTTTTGGATCTCTATAAAATTGTACTACAAGGTTCCATACCAAAAAAAGGAAAGTCGGGATTTGGAAATGGGCCTGAATAATACTTTTCTAATACTTTGTATAAATTGCTTATTTCTTGATCAATTTCAATGGGGTTTAATTCAAAGTCTTAAATTCCTGGGGCTCTTTAATATGCTGATTCCAACTGTGTATTTAGATTTTGGATTTTGGGCCCCGTATTTTAATTGGTCCACATTGAGGTCCAAAGACTCCAAAATTAAACTTAGTTTTGATTTTAACAAAAACTGAATTCAAGGGGTTCTTTGATATACTGAATCTAAACATGTATTTTGATTTTTTATTTGTAAATTTTTTGAAGAATTTCTTGGTTGGTTTGTTAGTTATTCCTATATATATATATGATGAAACGAACCCCTTTAAAAATTGTCCAAATTCAGAGCAGTATCAACCACCACACACAAATACTAAAAAGAATAAAAAAGAATACATAAGCACTTATGGTATCATAACAATATGTGCAGGTGTGAACCGTGAAAAACTCTAGACAGTATAATTCGAAATTACAACAATAGCACAAGGAATATGGCAATCTTTATTTAGAAAGGCCTAAACATACAGGTAAAATTTGTCAGGTCAACTTTATTCTTCAACGTTTGTATAAGTTATGTTTTTTTTTTTTGAATAATTTGACATGGAGTATAACTGAAGAGACAATTATTGTCGAAATGCGCATTTGTTTCAGTACAATCGGTACCGTTAATCATTTTACCGAAAGATTTACATTTCAGTTATACACAGGTACTTATGCACGTGTGCTTTAGCAGTATTATAAATATAAAGTAACAGAACATGTTCCTAAATAATGTAGTACTTTTTCAGTACTTTGAATTATTGAACTATTTCAGTAGTTTTATACTTTTATTGTGTAGTATATTTTAGGTACAAACCATTGTTCGTTCCAGTTCAGTACTTTTAAACTAGTTTTCCAATCAAATTTTTGTAAAAAAAAAGCACTTTATATGTATTGAACATCCATGTTAATATGCGGCGTACGTCAAATTTGTTTTAAAAAGTCTACTACTGTAAAATTATTCTTCAAAAATAGGAAAATAGTTTAGAAGTACTTTGAATGTTTGCATTAGTTACATTTTGTGTCATATTTTATAATTCAAAACTGACTACCTTGTATTGTTACGCCTTTAAATGGAATTTATACTCCACAGCCTTTCCTAGTAAATCTTCCGATTAATATCACTGTTTGATTTATGTCAATCAATCACCATAATGGTGACGACGAAAAGAAAAATCACGGTTTTAAGTTTGATTTATTCTTTCCAACTATATATAGTAGATAAAAATAAATTACATAGATTGTGTTCTTGGACAAGAAATAAGTAATCACATCAGTCATCTCTATTGTATTAACAAATCATGGGAACAAATAAGTTCCAATATCATTTCTTGTAACTTCTTCGCAGTACGTTTCTTAGTTTTATAGAACTATTTAAATCACCTAATAAAATTGTTATGAACAAGCAGTTACTGTATTGGACTCGTATAGATTGGTATAGATTCGCGGTCAGCTGTATTGTTAAAAACACAACAGATTCTGTGTGTATTTTTGCTTACAACTTGTCGATTAACACGTTATTAGATATTTACATTTCCAGTAAGAGTGAGGGTGTTGTCCATCAGTACATTTACATTCTATAGCCCATTTGAAATCTTCATAAAAAATGATGTTTACTATAGATGACAGGAATTGCTTGTCCAGCTAATCATACAAAATTGAACGGCTCGTCATACTTGTTTAACCAATTCCGTCAAAAAACAAAATACAGTAGTCATATAGCTCTTCAACTGTTTCGGTTCTTATACATCCCTGGCTTTGACATATTCTTCTTTGGACGTTCCTGATATAGGTACATTAAGAAAAGCGCTTCGGACGCATAAAATTCATTAAGTGTAGTTTTATTTTTTTTTTACAAAAATCCATATTTATTGTAGAATGTAAATATAAAAAAGAAGATGTGGTATGATTGCCAATTAGACAACTCTCCACAAGAGACCAAATGACACAGAAATTAACAACTATGTTTATGGTTTTATTATTTTCTAATATTTTGGCATCAAGAGCATCATTAAGAGATATTCATTATTGAATTGCTCTCCTGATGAAGTAATATCGGTACCGTTAATGTTATTATGTTTAATAACTTAAATAACAGTTTATTGCACTAAAGCACTAAAGTTTGTTAATTACTAAAAAGTAAGGGAATACTATTTAGATAATGCAAAGTTAAAAATAATGAAAACATTTATCAATGCTTTATCAGGAAACGTAACGTCGGTTTAAGGTTCCTCATAAGGCATAAACAATAATGTTGTGTTTACAACAGGTTAAGCCATGCCTGTTCGAAAATTGTCCTGACGCAAAGGCTAGTCAGCAGTAACGAGTTAGTTTTGTTGTGTAAACACGGTCATGTTTGTCAATACTTTATTATGATTCTTCAACTAACTGGTTTAGGCCAGTACAATAAGAATAGTAGTAAAAAGTGTATAACTTACAGGTACCAACAGATCTATGAAATATCGGTAGATCTACAGCCTTCTCCGTTATATAAAGTAAATTATACTAAGACCATCCCACTTTTAAAACATTCAATACAAATTTATTTTAAAAGGCATATTGGAAACCCGTAAAGAGTAAAATACCATTAACTTGTCCTCCGGTGGGGATGTATTTATTTCTGTGACAATACATGTTTTTCCGTTAAATGTAAAACAAAAATGATCATATAATTGGTTTTTAACATGAAGACTACAATCAGTTCCGGGGATTACGTGACGAGCCTGTATGAGTAAATAAAATATTACACTTTACCGTTATTCTACGTCGCTACCAATAAAAAAAAAACTGCAATGAACATGTGCTTAAAAAAAATATAGCTTCAGCACTTTCCTTCTTGACATGTTTGTCTTTTCTGTCCTTTTGAATTTGTATACCCAAAGGGAAACGTCTTCAGCAATAGTCAGTTGTCTACATGTATACAATATATCAATTTCTATATCGTCTCGAGACTAAAACAGTTGAAAAAATTTAAAGCAAAAAATCAAATATCTGCCATCAACACCAAGGTCAATAATATCGGTATTACATGCATTTTGATATAGCTACCCCAAAGTCCAGAAAACCGTCAGATATTATCAGTAATATCTTAAAGTTTTTGGTTATTGGGATAATTTGGTGTTGATGGCAGATATTTGATTTTTTGCTTTAAATTTTTTCAACTGCTTTTTCATATTAACTGGATTTTTCTCTGTGCATGTTTTACTTTGCGCAATTTGTGATTCGACAGTTCTAGATAATAGTGGAATGACTTAGTACTTAATTGTGTTTTTTGTTTAAACTCATCGCATGTTCTAGTTCAAACTATATCATAAATCTAGTCAGAAAGTGACTAAATTTTCTAGTGAAAATGTTAAAAAAAAATACGCAAAATGTTGGGGTTCTCGTGATAGAGTGTTGGCTTGGAGTTCGTAAGGTCATGTTCAATTTCAAGACTTCAGAATTGGTGTTTTCTGCTTTTTCACAAAGAACTCGGTATTTATGAGTAAGATCAAAGACTAGTCTAATCGGAGTCCCCTGCTTATATATTTCTATAAGGTATTATCTTTGAATCAAATATCTAATCGAAATGAGTTAGGAGTCCAACAACACAAATTAGACTTCTAGATGTCTTTTTGTTATTAGTTTCGTTGGGTTGTTGTGTCATTGAATTTATAGCCCACATCTACTTTCAACTATAAACATAATAAGTAAATGTTGTCGTATTTTTTTAAGAGATTGACAAGCGTCTCCTCAAAATCAATCCAACATTTACTGATGTTTAAAGCGATGTGTATGCTTTATGTATACAAAAGCAAGGGATATAGTCTCGAATGCAGTTTCTTCTAACTTCTGACTTCTGTCTTTGTGATGTATGTATTAGTACCATATTGAAAACAGTTATTTCTGTTTTTAAGTTTAATA